ACTTGCACAGTAATTATTTTCAGATGATTGTCTAGCAGGAATCACATGAACATCGTTTCGGTAATCCGCGACAGTAGCCGGCACCTCCGATTCGATCCTGGCAATACTGTCGACAGTCATCGTCCGTCCGGCAGGACTGACCGATGCAGAACGAGATATCCATGGGCAGCTGGTAATCGTCGTCATTCAAATCTGGCTGAACGGTAGATGGTGCGCTCGTGGTCGGTACCGCCATGGTCCATGCCCAGTGAAAGAGGAAGGGTATGAAACAAATACTGTGAACGCTTCTCGGCATCGCCTGTGTTCTAAAGTATCGTTTTTCGCCGCCCAGAAAGAAATTAGGATTAACTAAAAGTTGTGCCAAAGTTCTGCGGATTTGTGAAAACCGTAAAAGCTGAACTCAAATGACAGGTGAATATTATCGATGCGTTTCTGTGCGGCATTACATGTGCCGTTCTCCACATTCCAACAGCTCTTTGCAACATATTACTTCGCGCTTGCAGTATAGGTATTTCAGCTGCAAAGAACTGAGTAGCCACGGCTGCAGTTGGTCCTTATCTGATTGTTCGATCGTCTGCAAGATATCTCCGTGTAGCATTCAGTTCGTTTGTGCGCCGACCGCACTACGAGGAGAGTCGGTAGCGCAACTGTTAAACTGAACATCCAGCCCAACAGCGGTTGATTTAACCCTGAAGCGCGTATCAGCATGTTGAAACTGCATACGCCAACCTTGCCTAGTCGCCCTAATAAACATGTGCAAGCGTCACCCGTAGAGGGTTCCTGTGAATCCTGTCTGTAAGATTAACTCCAATTTGCCACGGTTGACCTTTGATATTATTTGCAATAATACGTGTCCACATTAATGAATTTTACAATAATTTTTAGATATTTCAAAAATTCATTCAAGAATTTCGGAAGGATGTGCAGTAATGTCTACAGTCCTCTCAAATCGAGTGCTTCTTGTTGAAATGTCATCTACTCCCGTTCACGCTCATGGAATTGGGTATACGTATGCAATGTTAAATTAGTTTAGGTCCGCTTTAAATTAATTTCGACCTGGCTCTAATCAGCTGGTGGCGCTGTGGCGTAGTTACCGTCATTGGATGCACCGTGTGTTTTCGCACCCAGAACCGAGAAAATCGAATGGCACCATGATGCCGGCATCCCCGCTATAAATGTTCAACGATTCTGCTAGAAATTGCTAGTTCAGATTTCATTTTCATCGCTTCGAGGAGTTCTGAAAGATATTGCTTGGAAAATGAACTGAAGGTTATCGCTTGGAAAAGGAATGAGGTTGCCAAAGGAACTACGACTGTGCTGAGAAGAAGCAGAAAAGTGTCTTACCAGCCCATTAAAGTTATTCGCCAGTTTATTTAACTGGAAGCTCCTTAATGGTAGTGAATGGAAACTGTAACAGGCAGATGCGCCAAGCTTTTCTGAGCGATTACGATTCCGTTTCAGACATTTCCTCGAAGAAATTTCTTAATCAGACAACTTCTTAACCGGTTTGTTAATCGGACCGATTAAGGAAATTCGGGAATTTTGCAAATCGGAAATTTCTTAATCGGTAGTGATTAAGAAAATTTCCTAGGAGGTGGCTAGAAATCTGCCAATAGTGGCAGTCTGGTCTGAGTTCAACCATTTGGTAAAACTCGTAATCGGTCACGCTCTTACTCGGTTCATTAATCGATTTTGGAGCTTAGCGCGCTCGCCCCTAACTGCAGGCGGCTTGATAGCATATAAGAAGACGTTGAAAAAACATGCGACAACAACCAATTAGCTTCGAATCTGCGTTCTGAATCGAGCCACTTTTGGTCATTCGTGAAACTCTTAATCGCTCAAGTTTTTAATCAATTTCTCCAATCGCTTTTGACCTCCTTTTCCACTAGTACTGATTTCACTGACCCAGGTTTTTCGGCATCTAAATATTTATGCCAAATATTCAGCAACTCTGTGCCGTACTCCAGGTCATAATCTGCCAGTGTCAAATGATGCGTAATTCTGGTGGGAATTTTCCGTCCCGTCGTCATCCAATGATCATAGCCTGCTGGCTTCCGATCCGACTTCCCTGCATTATAAGTCACCCATTCCTGACTTAACTCTCCTGTACGGGGAAGAACAATTTTCCACCGCGTGAAAAATGTTCCCAGGTCTCCTGATTCTGGTGCAGACAACTGCACTACTGGAGGAACCTGATAATCTGCTTTCTCCAACATTTCTGCAAATTGACTTGCAGATACACATTCCTTTCTTCGGGACTTGCTTGTCTTTCCGCTGGAAGTTTCCTCCAACGTACTTCTGCTTTCAACAGGTGTCTGGGATGATACGCTCACTGAGCCATCCTCATTTCCTGTTTCTGAAGACATTCTGTCTGCTTACAGCGAATAGCTCTATACTTACTGATAGAGATCACTGACCTTGACCTACACGCCACTAGCGTTAGATCAGATGGCTAACGCAGTTACTGCCAGAGCCGCACTACGACTCCCAGTACAACTGTACGTTATACGCCGTACAAGTACAGATTCCTCTGCCTTGCGCCAAATAAGATCGACCAACGTACCCGCGTCCAGGTACGCTCAGACAATCGGAGATCTACACCTGTAGACTCCCGGCACCTGGTTCTCACTTAGGAACCGTGCCAGACACCTGGTTCTCACTTAGGAACCGTGTCCTCCACAAACTTCCTCTAAGAAGCTGGGGAAAACCAAAACCACAGTACAGTCCCACTTAGGAACCGTATCCTCACAAGGTCCTCTGAGGATCCCTGTGGTTCTACCACTTCGACCAAGACTCAACACTTTACCAGTTTCCCAGGGGTTGTTACAATCCGGTGGGCGCCATGACATGCTATGCGGAAGTCGCACTACGACTACCGCTCTAGATGACCTAACCTTACTCAATCGACAAAGTGGGAAAATAAGAAAGATAAATGTTTTCTTATGTCGAAGTTCTACTTACCAAACTGTTACCTATTCCTACGTGCACGAGAGTTATCTGGAAGATGTAATTATCCAGAGTTAGTAAAAGGGATGTGACTTCCGGTAGGTACACGCTAATGCTTTCGCTACTAGAAGACACGAGAGATCTCAGATTCAGGATGTTGTTATTAAATTGCAATTCGATAGATGTTCCAGTCAAGACTAAATTGCACATCAAAATTCAAGAGAGATAACGCCGCAATTAACATGGGATCAGTCTGGCGCTAGTGAGTCATAGAAGCTAGCAATTATCAACCAATTAGCGGCAACATAAGCAACACCAATCTCGTACAAAAGTCTACATGTACGACGCTTCCTACCACCACCGCGTCAATATCCTTGACAACGACAGATCTTTCAGGGTCGGCTGCAAATTACCCAAATACCCAGTGACCGGAAAGGGACGATCATCCGGTGCCGCCCAGATATTGGTCAGTTCCACCCGGGTAAGGTTCGGACGTTTGAGGAACGGCGTGAACGTATCGAGAAGACAGCTGGGTGGGCACACCTCCATCCAGTCGTTCCAGTCGCCAATCTCGATGGTGTCGGCGGTGGGGGCGATGGCGTCGAGATTGATTGCCGGTACATCACAGCCGCAGTACTTCCATTGGTCGCTGCAGCCGGAGAGGACGTGGGCCTTGCACGGCCGCGCGTATTTACGCCGCTGGTCTTCCGCTGATATGGGAGGCAGGTGTACTTCAAACAGGGTCGAGCTGGCAGAGCTTGACAAATTCCTTGGCTGTGGTACAGCATGCACTGTGCTTGAGATACCGAGAACCGGTAGAAAAAGCACGCAGCAAAGATGCTGGAATTGCCTTAACCGATGCATCGTCTGTCGAGCTGCGTTATGAGTGCAACCGCCAACGTGGTTCATTCGTGATATTATAATTTCTGCTCGGTTGTTTCTGTATTAACGGCGCCCTACTGATTTTCGTTACTTCAGCCAGAGGCGCTTCCGGATTACAGCGGAATGATGGTTTTCCACCAATCATGGACTGGTGTGATTCAGCAGCCGGTTCTGTCACTACCTGGATGAGTTATAGGCAACGCTGTTAGTGCTGCCTATCTAAACACGGTCTTGTGAGCAGTTTTTATGAGGTGCATCGTTTGCACATTATTTCGCTTTTATGTAATGCGCTCATTTCAGAGAGCGAATGCATTCTCCTAGTACGTTTTCTTTGAAGAACTTAATGGACTCGGGTCGGCTGGCATTCCTAATGCGCTTGAAGCAGTTCGACGCATACTGAACAGAAATTTGGAAATAAGCCACTTCCTGGTTAAGCAATGCACTTTCTGATTAATATGTTATCGGTCGCACCGCTAGCTCTGTTTCCGTTTGTGTATGAGTTATGAATAGTTAGAAGCCAAATAACATGTGACTCATGTCCCACATGTTGCTGAATTCGCAGGAAAACGAGGGACCAATTTCCTGTTTAGGCGATGCTACCCGCGAAAGCCTTTTTGTTGAAGTCTGTCTGCCGAAAAACATTTTCGACTGCGCGGTTTAGACAACTGACAGCCAGTTAAAAGTAGAAATTGGCTATTCTCACCACCCGGGCCAAAAGTGGTCTTTTGGCTATTCTCGCCTGCTTCCACCACCTTTTACTAGAAAACAAAAATTATTTAATTAATTCATTAGACTTTGTCTTCGCTTCTAGTTCTACAGATACAGCAAACTGGCAACAGCGAAGCTGCACAATTTTTTGTGAATTTCCGGTATTACGATACATCAACAGGGAACGTTGCACGATCGATGCGGTTGATAAATAACTGCTACGCTGGGTCAGCGTGTGTACACGCAATGTCGCCCAAAAGCACTTGAACAACTCGTTGACCGTGGCATTCACCGAGTTTGGCTTCCGCTAAGGCAATCGAAATACCGACAGGGAATGCGGGATTTGCCCCTTCAGATGCACTCAACAAAAGCGCCAAAGATGCGCTTTTTATTTTTGTGTGTATCGCGTGTTTTAAGTGGCGTATATTATGCAACCAAAGAAATACTTCGATACATCATAATTATGCAGCATGGTAGGTTGTTTATACACGTCCCTTAAAGTTTTGCACCACCGATATGGAGATTATTTTTCGCCTCTTGTTATCTTTATTAGGTGCGAGAATGTTGAAAGTTTTAATTAGGTTTTATGAGAAAACTTCCCCATATACGAGCAAAATAGACCATCATGGTTAAAGTAACTTTTATCGCCACTGACATACTGTAACTGCATGCGCGCAGTTTCGCTTAAACCTTTCATTTTCTACAGGCCTGATTCTGTCAGTATCATCGCAAACTTATTATCTCTGCAATGGAATTTATTACACCTATGCAAATCCAGGTAACATAAACTATTTTGCTCCTCCAAACGAAATATCAAGTGGCCAGCAGTAGGAAAGTTTGGGTGAACCTATTATTTTGTCTGTTTGCACGAGCGTTTGTGCTTACATTATTTATGCAAGTGACGGTATAAGTTTATATAAAATTAAGGAAACGAAAGTTATGCGGCATCCAACCGTATTTTACCGATCTTCCGATGTGTGTTAATATTACTCAAGAAATTAGCATTATATTGTAACTGACCATGAATTAGCCATGATTCCGGGACGATTGAAGAACAGTTATAACATCCTCCGTAAAAATTTATTCAAATACAGTACGTCGTTATTAAAGCACTCACATCCTACTATCCGATGCTACTAAGAGGTTGTAGCTTGTAGGTACCCATCCTTGACGTCCACCAGCACGACGAGCATCCTGTACTCGTGCAATGGCGCCCTCTCCACCATCCCTAATGGTGCCTGTTCGTACCAATCCGCTCCCATCAACGGCGTCTACTACGGCACCCCGGCGACAACAACCACAGGCACGCTGTTTTCCTGCAACGGGGTCGTCAGCACCACCGCCAGCACGGCGTGTACGTACAACACGGCGCCGGTCAACGGGGTTTACTACGGCACGCCCACTACAACAACCACCGGGACGTATTATTCGTGCAACGGTGTCACCAGCACCGTGCCCAGCAGCGCCTGTACGTACAACACGGCACCGGTCAACGGGGTGTACTACGGTACGCCCACAACCACCAGCACGTCCGGTGTGCGGTATCTGTGTAATGGCGTGTACTACAGGTAAATACCAAGAAAAAAGTATCGTAGACTTTCTTTCACATGACCTTTCTCATACCTGCTCATAAAATAAGACCAAAACAGTATAAAATTCTCAAAATTAAACAAAGTAATTCTACGTAATAGCCTCAAAAGTAAAACATTATTTACACAAATAAGCAAAAATTAAAAAAAAAACAAGTTGCCTTAAAAGGATTCTTTAACGAAGTGTGGCCACCGTAGCTCGATGACTAAAACAACAACATATTGGTGACGATTTCCAGTTACGCCTATCCTGGATGCACTTATCCGTCCTTAACCAACACGGTCACCAATATCAACACGGCCAGACCGACGTATTACCTGTGCAATGGAGTATACTATACCTATGCGAATCCGGCATGCACGTACCCGACTCTGACCGGCTAATTACCCTCGCTACTCCAGGGTGACCATCGTCTGGCAGCTTCCGCTCTGCATTACTCGTAAATTGTTTTTCAGCGGTGTGTTAGCGTACCTTCTGTTGAAATCTGACGCACTTCAAATCTTACGTTATACTAGCGGAATCAGATGAACTAGGTATTGAAAATGCGTCTGTGGGATAAAAAAACTAAAAAAATTTAGTTGATGAGAGATTTTTATGCGATCCTTTAAAAGAAAAGGATAAAAACATTCACAACAATTTTATTGGTTCTGCGCGATGTGTTTCTTTCAACGAGCGAGTCGGTTTACCAGGTAAACTTTTCTTTGCATAAATTGCATTTAAATCGACAAGTTTCTGAATTGTGCGCTCGGGGCACGATGGTAGGCATACTGAAACCTCCCAAGAACGATGAGCTGCAGCAGATGCACAACAGTGTCGGATAAACGAGTTTTGCAGAGAATTTACTGCAAATGATAGCTTCCCGGTTTACATTTATCGACCTGCGTCACGCGCAAGTTCCGTGACTTCCGTCTGCAGTATCCAGTTACAAGCTGGATGAAATCTTCCAGATAGAGATGATTCCGCAGCGAGAAAAAGTCGTCGTTTTTGTTTAACAGACCGTTAATACTGAAATGTTGCTTGATACTGTATTTAAATGTTGCTGTCAAGTGGGCTCTTACAACTTTGTTCACCTATTCGATGTCGTAGAAAGTTTTCCGATCACCGAAGCAGCTTTCACCGGATATATTAAAATCAGAAAGCCCCACTGGCTCAGCTTTTTAAAACGTTCACTGTCCCGTACGAAAAAATTAAGCGGCGCTACTAAAATTTGATTATGTACAGCAGGATCCGTTCCCCGTGAATTCGCACAGCCAGACCATCTAGTTACAACATGGTTAACCTACCAACGCCGGGTACTAGAAGGAGTGGGAATACCGATCTGAAAATTGGTATTCCTCGACAAAAAAATTCAATTAAGGAAAATTATTTTTCGTGAAATTTTTCTGACCATAGGTCAACCAGGACACCACGATGCCAAAATGGCACGGATGGTAACTGAGCCAATTGGCACGGTATAGGTTTACTCAAATAGTAATTCACAAAAAAATCGCACAGGATCCGTAAGTAGCTTAAGTAAAAGAGCATGACGAGGGCTATGCAGCTAGGTAACTTGATTGGTCAGCAAGATGACTACTGGTCAGCACATATGAAAATACATAAAACCACCAATCTGAGCCGGCATGACATAATGTGCTTGGCAAATAGTCAAAAAAACTTTGAAAACGCTTTGTGATCTAGGAAAACAGTATCAGCTAGCACCGCGTTTGCTATAACAGAAAGTTGTTTCTACAGAAGATGCGTCACATGGCACATAACCCTGCCTTGACCGCCCTGACAGATACGGTAATGCTTGCATTAATCCCTCTGCGCTGTTTGGACCAGAGCTGCCATGATATCGGTAGGGAAGCCATGGTCAACTACAGTCTGCACTACCTCGTAAGAGCACCTGCGTCCCGAAAGGAAGGCAGACGTTGCACAGTGCTATGTTAGGGATGTGTTAACCCTTTTACGATTTTATCAGAGACCAGATGTACAATTACATACGTATCTTAGGCCACCTTTTATTACAGTTGCTGTATCCATGTTGTTCTTGTCATTATTTTACCGCAGCAGCTAGCAGCAAGACTGATCTAACGCAAAAAGCACATTTTTTCACCACTACTGCAACCACGATTGGTCACAGAAATCGACGCTACTGGTGTACTGAAAGCAAGTTTTCGCATGTCTTCCATTGAGTGCTTCTGAGTGAACTGTAGGTGTATATCTGTTGTGTAAACGCTTCAGCATTCACAATTCGTACACATCAGACGTAACAGAAGTGACGGAAACACAGGACCGTGACCTGGTCTGCAAGGCGCCTACTGTCTGCCTGTCGGTCATGTTTGCGCCAAACGCCGATAAGGCATTAACAAGCCATCTATAACATTTTAATTTTTACACCCCTGTTGCACCTTTTCTGCACATTACAATTTGTGCAGGAGAGATGCATGAAGAGGTTCTATTGACACCGTATTGGTATAATATTTCAATTTTCGCGCTACTGGTCTTTTTAGCAATTTTTTTTAAATTTTTTTGCCAAGAGTGACCAGTGGTCACTTTGATGACCACTAAATCCTTATCATTGAAAAGAGCTGATCATGTTAAGTTTTCTTATTGCACCTGCTGAATTTTACCTTTCTCCAAGATTTTTGTGCAGAATTTTAAAATTCTGGCATAAAATAGTATCAAACCCATGCGTGTCAAAATTGGCACAAAATTTTTCAAGGACCGTAGTCGGACGGTGTCCATCTACGTGTGTTTGACCTGTTCTTCTTTGGATGAAGTCCTATGAATACTTGAAGTGTGATTTTTTTTGTTAGTTATCTGATGCGGGACTCTCTCAGCCGGTAGCCAAGACCTCTGCGAACCATTTTAGCTCCGGTTTGTTGGACTTTAGTCGACCACCGGCCTCAACCAGTATCTGAATATTTAGTGTCATAATTTGTGACCGGCTCTTTAACATCTCTAGTTCACAATAAAATCATTCAGACTTTCCTTACTGCATATTCTACCGCTACAGAAATTAAAGTTCGCCACTGTGCCAATTGGCATGCATGGTGTCGACCGGGTTAACCAATTGGATGGTTTTCTTTCGCCTCAGCTGTGCTTCTCGGTTGTCTTGTTAAGGCCATCGTTCATCGGGGTGTTTGTTTCTGCGCTGCAGCCCAGCAGCAATAGATCGGACCGTGGATCTCAGCGATCCGTTGACAGCGCGCGGAATCCGAGCAGATAGGGCTGTCCGTTAGATCCAAAACCGGTGGACGGGAAGCAGAGGAGACACTGCGCAAGAAGCGGTCGTCGATGCTGGTCAAGTTAGGGTTACCAACTATTCTGACGCTCTCTAGGCTGTGTACCACGTAGGAACGGCTGCGGACAATGCGCTGGATGTTGTCGTTTTCCAGTTCAATAAACTGCAGAACCCAAACAAATCCAGATGCATTATATTGTTTTACCATAAAAATCAAAGGCTTACGTAAACAACTATGTATTTCTTTTACCCGATAAACTGTAACGCACAATAACTATCTACGATGGATTTAAGAGTTTTGTTTTACTATAGTAGTTACATGCGGTATTTAAGCAAGTAAGGTTTGCAACATCTCACCTTGACGCTGCTCATCAGCGGCGCAAAGACCGACCAATCGAGTGTGGCAATATTATTATGGCTGATAGTGAGCGACCACAGTTGCGGTAAAGCGGATCCGGGTCGGTCTCCCACGGTTGCAAATGCATTGATATCAATGGCTGACACGTGGCTGTGCAATATCACCAACCGCCACAGCGCCACGAACCCAGCAAAGGAGTCTCTCGTGATCGTAGGCAAATACATTTTAAATAATTCCAAGTTTGACAACGTCGTCTGCAGATTCGCCAGATATTCAGCGACGGGGAACGGCCGATTATCCGGCGCCGCCCAGATATTCGTCAGTTGCACTCTAGAAACTTTCGGACCGGGGGGAAGGGGCGTGAACGTATCGAGCAGACAGCTGGGAGTGCAGGACTGATCTGAACCGTTCCAGCTTCCAATATTGATGGTGTCGGTGACTGGTAAGGTGGTGCTGAAATTTAGTGCCGGTAGGTCACAGCCGCAATACTTCCATTTAGCGCTGCAGCCGGACAGAACATGGGGCTCACACGGCCGCTCGCGTCTGCGGAACCCGGATCCCTCTGAGCGCCATAGGGTGTCTTCCCCTTTTGACGCGACCGACGGCATCCATAGATCGGAGGGGTAGAGTGTAGATGACGCTGCGCTGCTTGGGCCGTTGCGCGTGTGTGCCAGGACCTCGCCTCCGAAGCCGCCGAAAGTTGGACTGTTCCCTGGCGATGGTATAACAACTGACATGGAAGACCGGGGCGGGGCCCGACGGAACCCGGAGCCGATAAAGGCTGGAAGTATCTCTGGCTGTGATTCCGCTGACATAGAGGCATTGCCCGTGTGGTTTGCCAGGACCTCGCCCCCGAAGCCGACGAAGGTTGAAGATTTTCTTGGCCGCGCCGGTTTTGATCGCTGGTCTGCCTCTGAGATCTGTCGGCTGAGTTCCGCTTGAGACACGGCCGACAGCGCATCTCCCAAGTCGGGGCCGAAGAATGAATCCCTTGTTGTCTGGTTTACAGCATGCACACTGGTTGGAATACCGATCAGCACCGGCAGAAAAGAAGGCAGCAAAATTGTTGGAATTGCCTTGATCGATGCATAGTCTTTCGAGCGGAGTTATAGTGGAGACCGCCAACGTTAATCCTTCGTTATATAATTTTGTAGTGGACTGTTAATATATTGACGACGCTCAAGTCATTCTCGTCGCTTGACCGCAGGCGCTTCCGGGTTCCAATGGAATACTGATTTTTTTCACGAAGTGTTGTGATTCAGCAGTCGGTTCTGACACAAATTTAACGAGTTATATTAAGCCGCACTGTCAATTGGGCTTACAGAATTGAAATACTGTTTAGTGTGCAGTTTTTTATTGGATGCATCGTTTGTACAAATGGTAAATCTGCAGACTGAAGTATCGCTTTTATGCGGCGTGGCGGCTGATAGCTCCTTATGCGCTCGGGGCAAGTTGCCGCATAATGAAGAGAAAATTGGAAATTAACCACTTCCTGGTTATACGAACACTTCTTGATTATGCTATGGGCCCACGGCAAGTTCTGTTTCCGTGAATGTGTCGTGTCGTCTGTCAGTGCATGACTAATTAAAAGCCGGATATCATGTGTCACATGTTAATTCTAAATCGAGGACAAGAGTCCTGTTTCAAAGAATGAGGATAAATGAGAGGACCCGGGAAAGATGAACGCTTTCTGCTAAAGATCCATATGTGACGTATGGGCCATTACAGTGGCTCGCTAACCCGTGCGGTTTTATTTACCGATGACCGTAAGTCGTAACAGATTTTTCTTAACGTAACGCAACAGAAGAGATTTGCGGCAAATTCGATCTTTGCCCTTTGCACATCGAAAAACACAGCTGCACCTGTCTGCAGCACAGCAACGGACTAGCGGGCATCTGCTTGCAGTTTCCATTAAGTGATGATGAATCAAAAGCTTGCCACTGGGCAAAGCCGTATAGTTGCAGAACCACTGGCCATACTGCCACAGCTTACGTTGACGAAGTAGTTAAAGGTCGAAGAAGTAGTAGCTATACGAAGCAGCATGTATACTAAAATTTTGGAAAAATGATGAGCTGTGCAGGTACAACAGTGTTCGACAAAGTAGCTTTGCGCGAAAACAATGTACGAGATGACACGACCACCTCCTGATTTAAACCATCGACCCGCGTAACGCTCAGGTTTCGTGAATTCCGTCTATGTACGAGTATAACTAATAAGAAGCTGGATCAAATCTGCCAGACACTCTCGCGCTCCCGCTGCGAAAACAATACGCATTTTCTGTTTAACTGGCCGGATATATAATGTTTTGTTGGGGAAGGTTTTAGGTCGTAAAACATTATTTTATGATCACCAACTCAGCTGCCATTGCATTTACCCAAATCAGAAAAACACAGGGTCGTACGCTTAGCCTTATAAATGTTTCTTAGGTTAAGAAACTGTTGCGTACGGGAAACAGGAAGCATCACAAGTAAAGTGTGATTATGAACAGCAGGAGCAGTTGCTTATGAATTTGTAAGGTCATGCTTGCGCATGGCAAGGCGGCCGGCCCATCTAGTCACAACATAGCAAACTGATTGGATGACCTTCTTCCGCCTCAGTTGTAATCCCAGGGTATCGTGGCACGGCCAGCTCCCAGCTGCTTATCTCGGCAGCAGTATTCGAGCGGGCCGTGAATCTTGGTGATCCGTCGACAGTACGTGGCATCCGAGCAGAGCGGCGTAACCGATAGACCCAGACGTGGTCGACCGGAAACAGGTGAGACGCTGCGCAAAAAGCGGTCGTCCATATCGGTCAGGTTGGTGTTATACGTGAAATCGACCGTCTCCAGGCCGTGCACCTCGTAGAAGTGGCTGACGACAATGCGCTGGATGTTGTCGTTTACGAGGTAAATAGACTGCAAAACCCAAACCATGTAAACTGGAATTTCTACCACTGCAATCACAGGCTGACTGACAAAAACAAATTTAATTTTATTAACTAACCAGGGAACATAGGGAGGCTCCCCCTTCAGAAAAATCTGAGTTTTTGCAGAAAGGTAGTATACCTACGTATTGCTATTAAAAAATAATTTCAGCTGCTGTAATCAAGATGGGCGTGGCCAAGCGTAAATTAGAGAGTGCCCACTATCACATACTATTACAATACTGTACCAGCGCAGGCTTTACGCGGAGCAGTCAATTTACGGGCACTGCAGCAAGCCAGTTGGCGTGGACTCTTGCATCTGCCGAGTATCTGGGCAAGTGAAGACCGCGTGCGGTGGCTTCTGCCAATGCTTTCAAAATTGCTTACTTTTGTTGCGTTATTATTTAAAATGTATTATTATTATTATTTGTGCACATCGTGCAACATATTTCCTTTCTCTAATTAGCAAACACAAAAATCAGAAAATGTCGAATTGTGAGTGCTGATAATCCCGCATTGGCAAAGGCCGCCGCACGTGGGTTTCACTTGCCCAGATACCCGGCAGCTGCAAGAGTCCACGCCAACTGGCTTGCTGCAGTGCCCGTAAACTGACTGCCACGCGTAAAGCATGCGCTGGTATTGTAATACATGTAGTATGTTGTAGTGGGCACTCTTTAATTTGCGCTTGGCCACGCCCATCTTGATTACAGCAGCTGAAATTATTTTTTTAATAACACTACGTAGATATACTACCTTTCTGCAAAAACTCAGATTTTTCTGAAGCGGGAGCCTCCCTATGTTCCCTGGTAAGTAAGTTATAGTATATATTGCTAAAAAATTTTCCAGCAGATTTTAATTTTTTTCACTGAAACTAAGAGGAATTCGTTACAAAAACCGCGTTCTTTAGATTACACTTCCACGGATGCTTATTAAAGTGTGTAAGTGATTTTGCGAATTCTCACCTTGACACTGCCCATCAGCGGCTCAAAGACTGACCAATCGAGAGTCGTAAAATTGTTATGACCAATACTGAGGAAATTCAGTTGCGGGAACGCTGATCTGGGCCGGTCTCCCAGGGCGGTAAAAGCATTGATATCAATGGTTGACACGTGGCTAAAAAGTAGTACCAACTCCCGCAACCCAACAAACCCGGCAAATGTGTCCTGCGTGATCGTAGGCAAATACATTCTGTATAATTCCAATTCTTTCAGCGTCGCCTTCAAATTATCTAGATAAGCAGCGACGGGAAACGGCCGATTATCCGGCGCCGCCCAGATATTCGTCAGCTGCACTCTGGAAACGTTCGGGCGGTGGGGAAGGGGCGTGAACGTATCGAGCAGACAACTGGGAGTGCAGAAATCCACCGAGAAGTCCAACGCGCCAAGGTCGATGGAAACGGCGTTCTGCGGGATGGCGCTTACATTCAATGCTGGTGCCTCACAGCCGCAGTATTCCCATTTGTCGCTGCAGCCGGACAGAACGAGGGGCTTGCACGGCCGCGGGTATTCCCCTGACATGGAAGGCTGGGACGCCAGGACCGGTGATATAATCGGCAATGCATATGTCATGGGATACGGGAACGGCAGGACCGAGCCGCCGAAACCGCCGAATTTGGAAGCCTCCCATCGTACAGCAAGCACAGTAGTTGAGACACCGATGAGGACCGGTAAAAAAAGAAGCAAGCACAGTTGCTGAGATTGCCTTGATCGATGCATGGTCTTTCCAGCGCAGTGGAGATCTACAACGCAGGCATTCGGTGCCGTTCGTGGTACAATTTTTACTATACTGTTTATATATTCACGACGCTTAATTGGTTCACTTTATTCGAGATTTGACCCGTAGGCGCATCCGTATTTCAGCGGAATATTGCTTTCTTCGCTAGTCATGGACTGGGATGATTCAGCAGCCGGTTTTCTCACAATTTCGATGAGTTACTGACAAGACTGCTAGTGGCGCTGCTTATCTAGGCACGCTCTACTGTCGTTTGCTCAAGTGGTACCGATTTATTTCCCGCAAAATTACTTCGCGTTTGTGCACTGCGCTGAATCACTTGAGCAAGCTCGCTTTCCTAGTAATGTTTTCTTTGAAGACACTGTACTTAAATTTATGGAGCTGTGTCGGTTGATAGCGTCCTTTGCGCTCGAGGCCGCTCCCCACTTGCTAAGCAGAAATTGGAAAATAAAACACTTCTTGGTTCCTGGTTATTCGAAGCACTTCTTGGTTAATGCTATGGACCCGCGGCAAGGTCGGTTTCTGGTGTATGTGTGACTAATCAGAAGCCGGCAATCATGCGCCACGGGTTGCCGAAATCCGCAAGGAAAACAAGTGGCCTTGTTCCAGTTTAGTTCATGTTACTAGCGTTTTCGCTGCACAGATTAGAACGCTGCTGCCACGGAATGGCGTTGCAAAGTGTTGTGTGTTATTCTTTCTTGCGGTTTTTACATTCTCACCGGTTTCCCGACAGTTGGTAAGCCTCTCAGTTTTTTTGCCTGACGTATGAAATTGGGCTTCGTGGAAAGTGCTTGCGACGACATGTCATGCGACGGAATGTCGTCCGCAAAGTAACCTTTCAGAAAATAGTTGACAACTAAATGTACTGCAATTAATTGTCTTAGGCGAAATGTCGCGGTGCCAGCTCAGTTTATTAGTGGTTTAGGTGGTGGTGCTTACTATACGCTCGAACGGCAAAAGAAGAACGCCGCCATTATCATTACGAGCTCGTAGCTGTGATGGTGGGAAACGGCTATAATTAGAAACTGCTGGCTGATGCGCTCGAGGCAAATTACGTGCAAGCAGAAAAGAAGACAACGACAAATATTAATGACTGATGTTGAATTATTAAAGGCTGAATGGACAGGAAATTACTAATTTCTTGTTAGTCTGAAGGAAGCATTCCTGTTTTGCGATTCGTTTCTTATGTTTCCTTATGAAGAGCCCCAGTTGAACGTTACTTCTGCATAAACTCTGGATCATTACAACTTGAACTACTTGTGCAGCTCAAGGAAGCTTCTAGCTGAGCACATCGTTAAAAGAATTAGTATCGCCAAAGCAGCTGCCACTGCATTGACAAAGGTCAGACAACAACGGGTCGTTGGCTTAGCATTATAAATGTTTAAATTGTCTCGTACGAAAAAAAAAGAAAAGTACCACAGTTAAGTGTGATATGGACAGCAGAAATGGTTGACCGACTGAATAACGTACTTCCGCCTCAGCTATCCTCCTCAGTTATCCTACCAAGCCCAGCGGCAGACTGCGTATTTCCGCAGCAATAATTGAGAGGGCCGTAAATCTTGGTGATCCGTCGACAGTGCGTGGCATCCGAGCAGAGCGGGGTCTCCGATAGACCCAAACGTGGTCGACCGGAAGCAGGGGAGATACTGTGCAAGAAGCGGTCGTCGATATCGGTCAGATTGTTGTTCCACGTCAGGTCCACCGTCTCCACGCCGTGCACTTCGTAGAAGCGGCTGACGATAATGCGCTGGATGTTGTCGTTTACTAGATAAATTTCCTGCAGAACCCAAACCCATCCATATAAATCTCATCCATCGTAATCAAAGACTGACATAAAGAAATTTAATTTGATTTATTTAAGCAAATTCGAATATGATATGATAACAACTGTCTCCAACAGATTTAATTTTTTTTATTAAGCGCGACAATAATTAAACAATTCTTTCTTTTTGAATTTCTGAACAATAACTGCACTCAACTGTGTTTATTAGCGGTACAGGTTTTCGAATTTGTTCTTCTTATACATTTTGAAAGAAAGGGTTTTTGTGACGAATATCGATTAGCTTCTGTAAATTATACTTACATATTGAGACGTTTAGAAAAGTCAGTAAGTACGGCGTACGAATTCTCACCTTGACGCTGCTCATCAGCGGCGCAAATACCGACCAATCGAGAGTGGTAATGTTATTGTGGCCAATACTGAGGATGTTCAGTGCCGGTAACGCTGATCCGGGCCGGTCTCCCAGGGCGGCGAAAGCATTGACATCAATAGTTGATACATGGCTATACAATAGTACCAACTGTCGCAGCGCCACGAACTCTTGAAAGGTGTCCTTCGTGATCGTGGGCAAATGCATCCTATATAATTCCAGTTCGCCTGCAGATTAATCAGGAAACCAGCGACGGGAAACGGTCGATTATCCGGCACCGCCCAGATGTTCTTCAAGGTCAAGCTGGTAAGATTGGGCCCGTAGGGAAGGGGGATGAACGGATCGGACAGACAACTGGGAGTGCAGAAATCAACAAAGTCGTTCCAGTCGCCAATCATCATGGAGGTAACGTTGAGCGCGATGGCGTGGAGATTCAGAAACGGTAAGTCGCATCCGCAGTTCTTCCACTGGACGCTGCAGCCTGTAAAGAAGTGGGCCTTGCACGTCGCCGCGTATTTACGCCGCTTCTCGTCTGCTGACATGGAAGGGAGTGTGTGGAGCTCCTCCCTAAGATGGACGAAGAAGGCTGACGATTCCGTTGGCAGTGGTACAGCACGCACGTTGGTTGGAGTACCGATCAAAACCGGGAGATAAAGAAAGAAGCAAAACTGCTGGAACTGCCGTAATCGATGCATCGTTTTTCAGGAGGAGTTAAGAAAGGAGACGCCTTCGCGTAGGTAGGTTCTTCGCGCATTAATTTACACTTCGCTGCGACGATCATGTGATTTTCTTGACTACACCCGGAGGCATTTCCGGATTCAACGGAATGATAATTTTTCACCAATCATAGAGTGGTGTGATTCGGCAGCCGGTTCTGTCACAAGTTCGATGAGTTATGGGAAGCAGTGTTAGTGGCGCTGCTTATCGACACGGTCGAGTGTTGTTTGCACAAGTGTTGTTTGTTTGTGTGTAATGCTTCGCTTCTTTATGTTCAATAAGCTGACTACTGACTAGTAAAACCCATTTAGGGCCCTGCTGGCAGTGAATGGTGTTGTCAAACGTAAAAAGCAAGTAAGGTACTTGGAAAGTTTTATAGCAGCACACGGTTGTAATAAAGATTGTTTTTATTAGAACCGGAAATTCATATAAACTTCCTGCCTAAGCCAAGCGAAATTGTTTGTACTTTGTACTTTAACTTGTATTTCGGTTGCGGTATGTTTCAGCGATCTGTTTGAAGTTACCCAGTACAGTCAAGAAAATCAGAAGTTGCCGACAAGCTGTTGACACAAAAAGACCTAAGAAAACATTCGATAGACAGATAGAGGCTGACCCATCCCATTTTTACTGCGCTGTCAGTAATAACAACTTATCGGTAAAGCACCCGGCTCCGGCGCTGCTGCTGTTTACTGTAAATACATATTATGGACTGCCTATTGCACAATTGTTCAACTGGTTTACGGCGCAGAATGCCTCTAAATGTTGCTTGACTATCCTGCCAACTTATCTTGCATATTATTAATGGCTTGAGCTCTGCGCGTGTTCCGCAGGAATGAGAAACTCTAATCGCATTAAGAAGCGCGTGCACGATAGAAATTATAAAACGATGCTGCTAGAACATCTATAATCATCGGGAATGCTTTTTTAGCGCTTCGAACTTTTTGCGGTGGAAATATGTATAAGGTCACCGCAGCATTGATCGAAAGCATGGAAGCACCGGGCTTCGGTTCAATTTATTAGACTCGAAATCGTCCTGTCCGTAAGAAAAACACAAGCAAAACATATACCCAGAAATATCAGGCCTATTTTCATGACAACAGGTCAAGATCACTCAGTCGTCACATGGTTAGCCGTCTGCTGAGACTCTTCCGCTTAAACTGTACTTCTGGATGGTCGTGCCGGGCTATGGTTCGGCGGCGCTGTATCCGTGCAGCAATCCTCGAGGGGTCCGTAGATCTTGTTGATCCTTTGACAGTGCGGGGCATCCGAGCAGAGAGGAGTATCCCCTAGAACCAATCGCGGTCGACCGGAAGCAGGGGAGACGCTGCGTAAGAAGCGGTCGTCGATATCAGTCAGGTTGCTGTTTCTATCCAGGACGATAGTCTCCAGGCTGCGCACCACGAAGAAGCGGCTGAGAAAAATCCGCTGGATATTGTTATCTTCTAGGTAAATATCCTGCAAAAAAAACTCATCTTTATGCATTGTATTTTTTTTACCATGAAAACCAAAGGCTTCTATTAACAACTTAATTGGCCCTTGCATTGTCATACTTACTGAAGCACGGTTTTTGAATGCTCACCTTGACACTGCCCATCAACGGCACAAAGGCAGACCAATCGAGAATGGTAATATTGTTATGATAAAATTGAGCGTTTTCAGTTGCGGCAACGCTGATCCGGGACCGTTATTCAGGGCGGTAAAAGCATTGGTTTCAATGGCTGACACGTAGCAACCCGATACTGTCAACTTTTGCAGTGCCACGAACCCGGCAAAAGTGTCACGCGTGATTGTTGGCAAATACAGCCTCAGCAACAGCAGTACTTTCAGCGTCGGCTGCAGATTAACCAGATAACCAGCGACCGGAAACGGTCGATTATCAGGTGCCGCCCAAATATTGTGCAGACGAACGGTAGTTACGTTGGGACGATGGGGAAGAGGCGTGAACGTATCAAGCAGACAGCTAGGAGTGCAGAAATCCACCCAGAAGTTCCATTCGCCAATCTCGATGGTGTCGGCGTTGGGAGCGATGGCGCTAAGATTGAATGCCGGTACGTCGCAGCCGCAGTACTTCCACTGGGCGCTGCAGCCTGACAAGACGTAGGGCTTGCACGGGCGCGCCTTTTTCCGCTGCTTGTCTGCCGGTGATAACGCATGGGGATCTAAGAGTTCCGCTTCCGACACGCTCGTCAAGATCGCTTCACCAAAGGGGCCGAAAATATCTTCACCGAAGGCGTCGAAGTTATATTTTTCTGGAGATTCCGTTGTCTGGGGAATAGCATGCACAGTGGTTGGGATACCGATCAGAACCGGCAGAAAAAGAAGGCAGCAAAGGCGCTGGAATGGCGTTAATCGATGCATAGTCTTTCCCGCGGAGCTATTAATAGAGACCGCCAATGTGGGTCTTCCGAGCTTTAGTTTGTACTGGACTGTTTATATACTTAATCAGGCTTATGCGGTTTTCTGTTTTTGACCCGAAGGCACTTCCGAATTTCAGCGAAATGAGAATTCTGCACTAATCATTCACTGTTGTGATTCAGCAGCCGGTTCTGTCACGAGGGTGAAAAGTAGGTGGGAGGCAACACTGTTAAAAGTAATACTTCCTGTCTAGACATGGCCTTTTGGTGTTCGATTCTATGGAATGCATTTTTTGCACAAATGGCAGTCTACAAAAAAAAACCAATTCAGTTTTGTGCGCTCCGCTCATTCAGGGAGCAAGCTCACTTCCTTAATTAGGGTTCTTAAAGAATCTGTAGTATAACTGATCGTCCGTGTCGGCTGATAGCGCCTTAAGCTGGTGCGACACATGTTGGACAGATATTTTCGAATAAACCTGTTTGTGTTTCCTGGTTATGCAACTCACTTCCTCTTTAATACTATCTGCTCGCGGCAAGTCCTGTTTCCTTACATGTATGGCAAATCAGAGACCGGCAATCATGTAACACATGTTGCCGAATCGCACTGCAAAAATTAACGACTGCACGCTTTAAATAATTATCAGCCTCTTTACATCGTTCGACCGGAACGATGCGATGATCCTCCATCTTCGAAAAAACATCTGTCGGTCGATCACTCATTAACCTATAAACAATAAATATTCGGGCTTTTTGTCTAGTTCACTAGTTTAGTTCACCGAAAAGCTCGTCATCGTCGGCCTAGAGGGACACTTGCACTCCGCGCGCAACAAGAGTGGAACTAAAGTTACACGTCGAGCTCTCAAATCGACAACGTCGAACAAAAATTCATTTCAAAATTCAACGGCTCTTGGCGTGTTGGAAACAATCTGAAATCGGAAAATTAGTAGTTCTAAAATAATAAACTCCCTTTAAATGTTGTACAGGTCGATTATTTTGATGACTGGATCTCGATTGCTGTTTTAAGTTGAAACTGGCTTGTTTGTGCTGACAGGCGAAGCATCCTGTAGCTGTGTTATGAACGCGTTGAGCCGTTCTGAATTTCTTCTCTACCAGGCTTTTCTCACCAGGTTGGAACTTTTGTTATGTTGACTAGCTTGTATAGACTGAGACTGTGATCAATAGCGTTATGGTGAAAACTATACAGTCCTTCGTATTTATCATAACTGTTGACACTTTACATTAGAGCCATAATTCAGCTTAACGCGAAGTGGCTAGCGAATTTTCGAAATAATCCTCAAAAATTATCATAGCTCATCTTATAGAGCGTGCTTTTACTATATATCCCGATAATTGTAATGAGCATATCCTGAATCGTTAACAAGCAAAAAAAATAAAGTTGTACAGCTGGTAAAGGGGGGCACGTAAGGTGAACAGCAAAATAATTGCATCTGCTGGTTTCGAAAGCGAAGTAGAACCGCAAGGCATCTTTCCAACAGACAATAAGCGGCCAGACGGTGTTACCTTAACACCTTGGGAGAGAGGACGAATGCTGGCATGGGACGCTACTTGCGTCAACACAATGGCCATATCGCATATTATTGCGACATCCGCACGAGCAGGAGCAGCAGCAGCACAGGCCGAGCAGGGCAAGATCGAAAAATATCGTGATATCGGCCAGGACTACGTGTTTCACGCTCTTGGTTTTGAAACGCTCGGACCGCCGGGACCGGATGCTGCCCGCACGATAACGGAATTCGGTCAGATGATACGACAGGAAACCGGCAAAAATTGAGCCACAGAATATCTTCGCCAGCGGATTAGCATCGAAATTCAACGTGGAAATGCGGCATCGATCTTGGGGACAGCGCCGATAGGGGCAAATTTAGATCAAATTTTCTCTGTGATTAGGCCGCCTCTGTCGATTGATGCTTAATGTGATCGTTTCTGAAGTTGTTGTGAAATTTCTCTGTGAACAATTGTTTTGTAATACCAACAGATAAAGTATAAATATATAATTACTACTACAAAATAATAAAAACAAAAGTAACAACGAATGCGTAATTACTAGTGATCATATTTTAAAGCACAAAAATCATTTCGTTATGTGGCATATGCTACTCTGTACTATGTAGTATAAAAATGTAACGCGTCGGCGGTATGCCCGTTTCCGCAAACGGGTCGAGTTGCTAGCCACTTCGCGTTAATTTAGTTTGTTTGCGGACCTATAATATGATCGTGCAGAGATAGCATTAAAGGTCACTTATGTGAAAAAACAGTGGTGTGGTATTTGTACTTTGAAGTTTCCTGTATGGATACACTGTATTTGAGCATTTGTACCAAAATTTTGATGATCCCGAAAGGCCGTACTTTTGCGAAAATAGGTCAAAGAAATTGCTTCTCGACAAGTATGGACCAAAACATAAGGAAAAATTTAACAAACGTATGCGAAACAGAAGAAACTGCATGCATATGCAGATTAGTCTAGGATAACGTAAACTCAAATTGCAGGTCTGTAGATTTTCACTAACACCGTCGACAGCAGGTTTAGCAGTATTTCCGCTTAACGCCGATGACCGTGATCTCAAAAGCTTGACAACAATTGGGGTCAGCAGGAAGGCTCATTCAGTGAGAATTCCACCTGGTCAAAGTCAATGAGGTCTGGTCCGGAAGGGAATGGATCTGCAGAACAGTCGATCGGCACATAAACGTCATTGGGCTGGAAGGCGTTGCTGCCGTAACTGTCTTCAACCGAATAAAGTTGTCGACTCTCAGTCATTCGGAGTAACTGCTTGTTGCTTTGTCGCCATTTGCGGAATGGCGCAAAATCACAGCTGCAGTGAAGTCGGAACAAATAGTCCTTGATATTTGCGTCGAACGCTACTGCCTTTCTGACCTCGGCCTCGAGTGACAATATGCGCAGTGCCGGTAACTGAGAGAATGTATCGCTCTCGATATTACGAAATGTTGAATTCCAGAACGCAACTATTCGTAATTTTTGAGAATACTCGAAGTCCGCCTTTTTTACCTGTAAGTTGAGACATCTGTAAAGATTGTATTCTAGAAGATTCGGCATGGGCATTTGACGCAGCCTTCCCGTGACTCTTCGATCTTTGCAGTCGTAGAGTTTATACGCAACAATTTGTCTTCTCACTTCCCCGAGATCTGCCGATGACAGTTCGGTGTCGTCAACGGAATTAACACATACAGGACGGATGGGTGCTTTGTTGATAGCTGTCAGCATGCGGTTAATTTCCTCCGAGCTTGCTGCTTCGTTGCAGCTGATTTGCACGAGCTTCATAAGCAGGCATTCGCCTCTTGTGTAAGTTGTTGGTTCAAAGTTTGTCGTGAACTGGAAATCGCATTCTGCTGCAGTCATCGGCTCAGTGGAAAAAGCCGGAAATAAGTCTTTAGAGTTCACCGGTTTATCTGAACACTGTACTTTGTCAACACCGGCCCTCGAAACTGGAAGAAACGGATTGGATTCAGAGGGACGCAGGAATCCGGGTATTGCGACACACGACACGCCCCCTTTCTAGTGCTCTCTCTGTTACAGTTATGTGTACGTGTGTGAATTGGTATAAATTGAGAAATGTTAAGCGCTAACATGTGTCACTTGCTGCATAAAATTTTTTTTTCTGTTTTTGTTGTCTTTGTGATGGCTTGGGGCCGTTTCCGGCCATGTTCGGCATAACTGCCCAAAGGAAGTATATTCCGAGCCCACCTTTGGTGTTCTCGCGTGGCGTGTAGGAGCAATCAAATAAAATGTCCATGGAGTAAAGAATGATGGTGAATACTTACAACATTAGGCAGACGTACTGTAGAACTTTATTATACATGACGTACGTTATGCTGCCAATTTTAAGGCGTAAAAGATTGGTGTTTCGAAACGCCCCCAGATTCTGAGGTAAAACATTTCGTCGTACATACTTACAGTCCGGTACGTTGATTGAGAATGAGAGAATCTGTACTGTCTGTGGTCGACGGAAGCTGATGTAGCAGGAAACGGATTGACCGAACAGTCAATAGGCAAATAAATGTCCTCTTTGGTGTAATTGATATTCATCCAGGATTCTGGAACGAGGTACACTTCTCTTTCCGTGGTCTTGTGCAGCAACTGCCGATTCCTTTCCCACCAATCGCGAAACCATTGGAACTCACAGTCGCAGTGCAGCTTCTCCAGGTAATCACGAATGGTCCTCCCGAAAACGGGCATGTTGCGCATGCCCAACTCTAAGGATAGAAGACGGCAAATCAATAAACGTGCCCTTCTCCAACGTTTTAATAGTAGTGTCTTCGAAAGTAATCACGGTGATCTTGATTGATTGGCCGAAATCGGTCCTCTTGATTTCCAGTCCATGGCAGTGTTTTAGCTCCAATTGTAGCAAATTGGAGAAGCGTAGTGCTGCAAGTTTTTGGACGGTGCGGCTGGAAATACAGTTTCTAATGGCAGTCGTAACGACTTGTTGCCGAACAGTCTGAAAACTCTCGAAAACGATGTAGTCACCATCATAAAGGTCAACCGCAATCGGTCTAATCGGAGGTTTGGAAAGTCCAGCGCTGATTTGCCGAATTTCCGCCGCGCTAACCTGTGTGCTACAGTTGATGGTCAGCCCTTGGAAAGACGTGCAGGTCGCAGCTGTCAGTTCCGGGTCATTGCAGTTGGCCGTACACTGGTGCCCACACTGCTCTGCGCTCATTGGCTCTACAGAAAACTGCGGGAACGATTCCGATGTGGTAAAACTCTCACTGTTTTCACCGTCATCTTCTGTAAAAATGATCAACCGTTATGTTCTAGTTTTCTGCCAGCATTTTGCAAGTTTTCCGTTTTCGCAGTTAAATAACCAACTACCAGTGCATTGATGCGTTGTTAGCAACAGCGCTTTAGTTTGTCGCATAACAGAGGTTACAATACCGCTCATCGGTTGCCCAGAAATTATGTCTTTGGTGGTTGTTCAGGTTGATTGCAAATTAAGGCGCCTTTTCACAACCAGCGAACAGCACTTACCGATACTGTTGCCGGACTCGCACGGATCTTCCCTCCTTGCTTGCGCAATTGGGCAGACTGGGTAGTTGCTCGGTTTTTCGCTGCCACTGAGGTCACCTGGTGCGTGCAGCAAAAGTTGGACAAACTTCTGCCTGGCACTTAATTAACGCCTTACCTAAGGAATGTACTAGTACTAAGCTTACAGGCAAACTGCTTCGGATGCGCAATAGCACATCGGAACCGTCGGTGTATTCTGACCACGTCCAACGGACTCAGATCCCGGCTCTGTCCAATCTTCGACTTTCTGCTGGTTGGGACGATGTTCGGGATAGCGCTGTCCTTAGCGAAGGCGTTGTGCTTGTAGTGCATAACTGATTCGTAGTCATACGAGAACCCGTACGTGTTCCCGTTCTCGTGCTTGGCAAACTGGTCCCTGTCGCCTGGAAAAGGTACTCCAAATCACCAATCAATCATTAAACTCTGCGCTTTAATCAGCCTTACTTTTGGCGATGTTGTCCCAGATGATTTTAACATATTCGTCTCTGTCGGCTCGGGAATGCTCATGGAAGAAACCCAGCACATGCAGCAGTTCGTGCTGAACGTCGCCGTGCTGCTTCAGGCATGCGGGCGAATAGGTTACCGCTTGCTTCCCACCAATGCGACCAATATTCGACATGCACCTAACGAAAACCGGTAATTATTTTTTCGATGATCATCATCGTAGCAGTTGACCATATTGTTGAGAAAAGTCACTAACTGCAGTCCTTTTTGAAAGCTGATGTAATCTTCTTCGGTGGTGCGCTGCACAAAATTGAGACAGTTACCGGTACGGTGACTGATAATACGCATCGACTCCAATATAATCTGGATCTCCTTTGGTGCTACAAATAACTAATTAATCAATCGCAACCTGGCATTTGTTGAGAGGCAGTAATTCTGGTGTGCTACTTAAAACATTTCCAAAACTAGCAGCCGTTCTAGCTAGAAAGGACGTACAGTTGGAAATTTAAAATATCAGATGTTCGACAACAAGCGACCAGCAAACGGTACAGTTGTATTTTGGGACCAGCAACGGTTGACAAACGCTTTAATTTCTCTTACAAAATCGGCTACACGCGCTGTGACTTTAAACGGGTTGCGAATAGCTAGTTACCTGCAACGTTTGGAGCCCCAGAATGTCTCCTTCCGGCAGATCGCTGTCGTAGCGCGTGAATTCCTCATCATCACTGTTTGCCAAAATTTCCGGATCGATAAAGCTGCATAAGCGAAATACTGAATGGGTGTTTGATTTTTGGTAGTACTTTTCCTGTAAGATTATAATCCCAGCCATGATAAACACGGTTTCTTCTGTCTTAAACTTCCTTTTATATACCTTCTGGTAGATTGCGGATTGTTTTCGACGAAACGCGGGAACAAAGTGCAATGGAAGCAATAAGTGCGCAAATTCGATATCGCAGCATAATGGTGCTTGTTTTTTTCTGCTAGCAACGTGACATTGTATCGTTGTTTCCGCCAGACTCTGTTAACTGGAAGTGCCCAGCTTTAAGCTTCCTCTTAATGTCGTATTCTCGTATTCTGCTGTTTCCTCAGGCAACGTTTTTTATGTGTTAAAAAACCGGCTCGAGATATCTGGTTCGTGGGTGCTAACTGTCACACATTTTCAAGCAGCTGGCCTTAATGTGCTTTTGATATCTGAAGCAGCCAAACGCGGTGTTACCCTGACATTTTACTTGCAATTCGATAGACAGTTTCATGCGTAAGTGCATATTAAAATTAGCAAAAGCTTCAGTGCAGAGTTGAGATCGCAGGTTGAGACTCTTTTAAAGCAACATCTTGTTCTTTAAAAAAATAAATTTAGTGTCACAAAAGCCGCCATATGAACTGTCCGTGCGGGTCTCCGCGAAAGAAAGCCGGTTAAAAGTAACGGCACATTGAAGTATTTCTTTCTAGCTATTATCAATACTCTCCTGAAAGGCTAAGCTTTAAAAAGACAAGTAACGCGTTAACAACTGAATAATTTCACGCATTTTGCTCTGGTTTGCGAGTCAATAATAGTGGCACAAGCGATATTCAATATAGCAGGTAGTCGGCGAACAAGAGCGGCATCCAGTAAGCGTTGCGGATTTTTATGAAAGCGTTCTCGTTGTCCTTTTCGTCGCCGTTTATATTCCATCTGTTGAGCAAGTAATGCGGCAATACGGCAACCGCGCATTGTTCCTTGATGGGCCGTGTGTTGCGCACCACGCTCCATTTTTCCGTGGCTTCGCCGTAGCACTCCACGACGTCAGCCCAGGAAACCTTCCCTTCAAGCTGGGCAGTATATCCGCCCGCAGCGTAGACGCTTCCACCAACGGCAGGCACGCGTGGAGAGGACCGCGCATCATGGGACCTTCAATTATAACAACATCTTATCGGTACCCTTAAAGAAACCGAAGCGAATGATCAATATGCGCGAATTAGGGCTTTTTAACATTTTCGGTTGTTGTACGTATTCCCGTAACGCAGCTAAGCATGTCATTGTAGGTCCATTAAAACTACGTTTGCGCGTACAACCTCTACCGGCCAAGCTGATGTTGCCACTTCAAGGGCCGTCGACTACCGCGAAGTATTCGTAATATCGGGTGAAACTGATGAATCTGGATGTAAAGGGTGAGCCGAACCTGGATGTGAAGGGTGAGCCAGTGCGTGAAATCCCCATTCGCAACGACAGAATGACTCACTGCTTGTCCACACCATTCCGATTCAAAATCAGTGTAGCGGCTGTTGCTTGCGACCTGAGCAGCGGACAAGTGTCGCACATTGTGAAGTCGAATAAGTTAACAGGCTGCAGCCTCTCTGTTTGTATCTTCGCTCTGATGCAGGTCGGTGGCCGTTCCTGAATAAGGTGACTGTTTAAACAGACTGACTTGGTTAGACCAATGATATTGCGTACTCGGAGATGTACATACAAATCATAATAGGCACACATGCCTGTAAAAATTATGGAAATCGCTTTTCCCGAGCTTTAGCAACCAACTAGGTCTCACGTATTCAAGTGACGCATTTTCATTGATTTTGTTTGTTTGAATTGTTGCACTAGTGTGTAAAATAAGTCTGTACTCTAAGAATGCTTTCCATTTACACATAAACAGTAGAAGCTCACTACACCGACGTCGTACAGAAGCGTTACGAATGTTTTCGCAAAACCCAGCAAATAAAAGTGGTTATAGCTGAGAAATCTCCTCAATTTCGAGAAATGTGACGTGACTGAAGTGGAAGTTTAAGTAGGTAAACCGTGCGCTGCTGCTTAGTGCTTACTGCAGATATCTCTTTACCTTAAGGCTTCACCCTTTACGACCAACTGGTTTGCCGACAAACCAAGCGCAAGCGCCGGTACTTTCTAAGCAACCGTGAATCACACTTTTTCTTAACCGCCCTACAACGTAACCGTGATGGAGATTTTACGGCGATCAAGCAAGGTATTCTTGCTATTGCTTATTACGATTATGTGGGCTGCGAAGAACGTTCCGGTACATGCTAATGCACCTTGCAGCGATCAGTGCTTTAATCACCGGCCAAAAGCCGCGTGATCATTGTTCGGCTGCGGCAGATCGCGTGTTCATTGATCTACACGATCTGTCCGTGAATATTATGTCAGCGTCTCTTGATTTATTTATATCCGTTTAGTGGCGTCTACCGCTGGCATGTATACTTCTACCGATGTGCGCTTAACGTGCTCGATTATTTCTCCTTGTTGTGCTTGTGCATAAGCAGATAGCTTGTTTCTTCGCTTATTCGAATCTAGCATTGCAACTACTCTATCCGCTGACAACTGAGCAACAGTCCTCCACAGCGTAAGCTGCATTCGTAATAAGTGAACTTTGCTTTTAAAGTAAGTTAAAAATGCACCAACAACCAAAAGGTAAATAAGATTAACACAGATTGCAGGGTTCCCTTTTTTTCTTAATTTTTTACATTTTCTAAAGAGAATGTACTCTGTAATTAAATTTCGGCTATTATTTTTAAGGAAAAATACACCAGCGGAAGATTACATTAGACAAACAACGGTTTCATTACACATAATGTGTTACAGTTTGGAATATACGGGGTTTTTGGCATAGCTTTATGGCGTGTATTGGAACAATCGATTAGAATTTACCGTTAGAATTTCGGTCATTTAATTTCACTTGCAGCGTATCGTGATAATACTTAATTTTCGTATATTTAACGTAATTCTGGTGTTATAGGTGATTTATTTTCGGCGTAACTTGGGATTTATTTACTGTCCTGGGCACCCTTGCACCCTTGCAGACCTGGGTCATGGCTTTCATGGTGTGGAGAAATGTGCTGCATTCTTACTCGGTTTCAATGCCACAATCATTCTTATTTTGGACATTTACCGGTTTAATTCAGGTAAGCAACAGCCCGTCTCAGGGACGAGTAAAGACTGGAAGCGAGTAATATACAGGTTTCGAATTATAGTGCATTGGCTGTAGTATTTTATCATTTAAGTAGAATTTTAGCATTTTTCTGTAGAGCTTGTGAGATCCTGGGCATGCTGCAAGGAATATCGGTTCCCTTTTACAATATAGCTTATTATAAATTATTTTGATAAAATCTGGATTTTGTTTGCGGTTAGCAGGTTGTTGCGTCAGAACTTGGAACCAGCCTTTTCTTTTGACTAAATGTCATGCAAATCATTTGCAGGTTTCACACAGTGCCGATCTTGCCGTTGAACCTGGAGATGGTGAGCTGCCTGAGGCTTTCGTTAAGGAGTAGCGTAACGTTTCTCACCGAAAATCATAGACATAACTATACATTTTCGAAATAACGAAAGGTTTTGGTTTTCATTAGATGCAAACAAATCCTACCGAAAATTTTTCGAATTCGAAATAAAGCTTTCCTGTATCTACGGTATCTAAGAAACCTACAGTATCGGATGGATCTCTATCCATAACAGCAGTGGTTGACCGACCGGTCTGTCTGAGAAACATATCAGGTTTTCATAAATCAAATGACTTTCTTTCCAGATTTTTTACCTCCAGTTGATGTTTTTGCCAACAAGAGCCTGACGACCGCGGACAGCATCGTGCTGGAATGGTTCAAGCCGTTTGATACTCGCGTTCAAGGCTACCAAATACTCTACCAACGCTACACTGCCGGCGCCTTCACGCCTCCACCGGAGCCGAATATTATCAACATATTCAACGCCAACCTGACGAGCTTCACGGTTACAGGCCTGGACTCGGGCACGCAATATGCCTTCCGAATGAAGAGTTTTGTGGAAGATGTTGTCAGTGTGGAGAGTCCCGCGTCCGTCTATTGCACTCGTAAGGAAATTCTCTACTACTGCAGTACAGAGAAAAGCAATCACTTGCGGGGGTTATTGTAGGTCCACCCACGCCCAGCTTTAGCGTGCAGCCGCTGCCGGTGAAGCTGATGTTGCAGATTCAGCGGCCGTTGAATGCCACGAAATACTACCGGGTGCGCCTGCGGAACTTGGATGTGACAGATGAGCCGGTGCGTGAAATCACCATTCGCAACGACTCGCTGGTGGTCAACTATTTAATTGCGATTGCGTATCTGGGAGCGACGTACGAAATCCGTGTAGCAGCTGCTGCTTGCGACGTACTCAGTGAAGAAGCGTCGCAAATTGTCCATTCGAGTAAGTCAAGGGGAGTGACCCGATACAGGGAAGTGGAACCATAACCGTGTATCTGCATGAAAAACTTCGCTTTCACGCACTACAAACACACTTCTTTACATTACAATTTTATTACAATGTTCTGTAACCAATGATTTGTAGACCGGTTTTAGAAAACATTTGGCTACAGAATGTCATAAAGTGGAAGCTCTCGTATCTGTACACGAATCTGGTCATGTATCGACACACTTTACTTAAAAGTAATAAGTATCGAAAGCATGTAAGCTATTTCTATACCAGAAGGACAGTTACAATTTTGAACGATTTCCGTCAATTTGCTACTTGTACGAATTAAGCCACCCTGCAGTATCACATATCGTTTTTGAACTTGCCTATTTTTGCAGTGCCTCCGACTGTAATCTTTACTCGCCCTCCCGTCGAAGTTACCCAAACCTCGGTGAAATTTCTCTTCCAAGCCGGCTGGAAATCAAAACGATGCATGTTAACGAGGTTCGTCTTCGCTGCTGAAGGGATTCCCTCTAAATACGTCTTTCCGAACGATGAAGACATGCATGTTGTGGAGTTTACCGGTCTGATTCCGGGAGAAATTACAAAATCCTGGGATGGAGCGAGCGAGGGGAAGTGCAGAGCGACAAGCGGTATCTCATGGTGCAGCTGAAGCCTAACAACGTCACTGCTCTCATTGCTACAAAGATCACCAGCCGCAGTATTCGGATTACGTGGGAACCGCCCTTGGGGACGTCGGGAAATACGAGGTCGGTCGCAACGATGATCTGCCAATTTCGACTAACGCAACATCTTGGACTTTCTCGGACTTGTTGCCCTCTACGGTGTACACAGTATTCGTGAAGGCCTGCAGTGATATCTACGGGCGCGAATGCAGTGCCTCTCTGACGAGATTTGTCACAACTTCGGATGATAAGAGGCAAATCAATTCAACAGTAGAGTACAAGGTGCTAACTTTGTCACCAAAGCGCAATAACGGGCGTTCACCTAATTACGTGCTTTCATCGGCACAGTCGGTCACTCTACTGTTTGCTAACGCTGTAGTTATTATTTCTATGTTTTTATGCAATTAATCCACCTGATGTCGCTCATTGGTTAGTCACGCATAAAGTATATAAGCGGCACAGCAGTGCTGGCGAGAAAATGCGCTCCGTACAGTACGTAATTCACTCGCCTGTTAAATTTCCCGGTTTGTGCACTTTATTGGTCAAAAGCCAATTAAATAACAATAATAATGCCACTATTCCTGAATCATACAAATTTGCTCATCGCAGCTACAAATGTCAACAACTAAAGCACCTTTCGGCATGGTCATGAAAATGGTTAACAGAAGACAGCAAAAAAAAAGAATTTCATTCATCAATTTCAAGGAAACCACGAAGCTCTCATCCTTACCACTCGAATGATAATAACAGGTACAACTTATTAATTGGGTTATTCAAAGAAACAGTGATTAAAAACAAGATCAGACGCTTTTCCTTCGCCACCTCCTCGCTGACATTTGGTCCAGGCCCCTGTTGAGCTAAACGCTGCTGGAAGCATTGTTGGCTGGCGTCTCCGGCAGTGCCAACACACCCGGAGGGGATCCCGAGGGACCCGGCGCCCCGATACGGGGGAGCTGTCCGATCTCGGCCAAACCCGCCAACATGAACATCACGCCGGCGTGCTGGAACAGGTACGACGGGGACCCCACCGCCGCCGACACGTGATTGCCGCCTAACCCTCGCGACACGAGAATCCCTTCCAGCAGCGGCCGGGTGGCCTCCAGACACCCCACAGGGGAGGACACGACGGGCGTCAGCGCTTGTTGCTGGTCAGCGGCTGAGCTGGACGGAGCGGGCTGCTCGGACAGAGGAGGAACTGGAGGCTGCGCGGCGGCGTCGTTGTCGGCCGGAAGCCCGTTGTACAGCGGAAGCGGAAAAATCTCCGGTTTGGACTCCACCGAAGGTTTTAGCAGTCTTCCCCCTATAAATTTTGAAGTCCCCACTTTTAAAAAAATTCCGAACGGCATCAATCTTCTGAATACCGGTAGATACATTGCTGCAATGTGTTCACCTGGGTGCAAGAGCGGCATCCGCTCTGTATAGGATCGTTCGATAGAATATTTCAATACAATTTGTATGCTTTGCCGATAGCCTAGTGGTGCCTCTCTCGGCCTTAGAGTATGGTAGATTTTTTGCGAGTGTCTGTGCGAGCCTAGCCCAGCCCTTTCATGGGTACTGTCACGACTTGAAGGTGGCCTAATATCTTAAATATTAACCCGCCACTGAGGGCGCACAAAACCAACTAATTATCGGCAACATAGCAACACAGGCACACTGCTTCCGCAGTTGCCATGCTGGACACACAGGTCACAGCGGACGCCACAGGTACTGATACCCAGGTGAAGGGAGGCGGGTAGAGCCTCCACCCCTTCCCTGGAACACTGAAGGGCACCTACCAATTGCTTGGATGTTAATGGATCGGCAATCGCGCACTGCAGATAGAGAACGGTCTGGCTGAGCAGGGAGGTACACCAAACCTTGTACATTCGGTTCACATTGCGCTTGAATATTTCTCCGAGAATCTTGGAACCATCGGACCAGTAGGCGGTCGGCAACGTGCAATAACGGACCACGAAGTCCTCCTTCAGCACGCGGCGCTTCTGCAAAGCCGCCCCGGAGGGCCGGGTGCGAATTTGGCTGACGGGGACCAGTTGTCGGACGGTGTACTCCTCCAGTTGTACGTCTATTAGGTTCGCATCCTCGCATTCGAATGGTCCCGGGGAGGGAACCTGTCCTGGATACCAGATCCAGGCACCGTCCGGATAACGACGCTGTAGCACCTCCACGTTCTGCGCATCGTGGCTATGTGGCCAGAAGGGACAGTGAAAAGTCCGTTGGTATTCGGCAAACTCGGCGCGTTGATTAGCACAGTGGAAGTCGATGATCAGACCACCCTCCGCCAGGTTAATCACGTCGCCGTGCTGCAGTTGTCCGTCATCGAGGCGCACGTCTACGGAATTCCAGCGCGCGACATAACCCTCCTCTTTACCGTAAAACGACATCGCGAAATTCGTGCTGACAGACGTGACAGTAGATTCGCTTTATACCTTTATTCTTCGCCTACACTTTCGTCGTCAAGAACGGATTTAACACTTGTAACGTGGAATCGATCCAGTATTCAAGATGAAAAACTAGTCTTGATATCAGTGAATAGAAAGGGGAATTTGATTATTTGACGAACAGTTCCGCAGAACTAAATGTGAAGTAATAATTCAGACGAGTGAAGCAAGACTACGAGAGTTTGATGAAATATGATCAAATATCAGTGAAAGTCGAGTGGCGGAGTGACTTCACTACGAGCTCAACAATCCGGATTTAGAGGTGCCGAGCACTTCAGCTGGGAGTGCGCTGCCCCACGCGCTGATGGGCTTTCGACTCCCAAGTAACAGAAATACGTTACATAATAATGCTCGTAACGGCATAATTTGCTGATCGTCGGCGACATTCTTGGGAGTGAAAACCCTCTGTCGCATTATTTATGTGGACAACTGTCTAACAGGAATCGCATGAACAGCGTCCGGAAGCCCGCGACTGTAGCCGGCACCGGCGTGCAAAGCCCGACAGTGCTTGCTGCAGTTCTCGTCGTTCCGGCAGGGGGAACCCATGCAGAAACTGATATGAATCGGCGGTTGGTAGTCGTCGTCAACGTTCGGCTGCTCAGTGGATGTGCTGTTCGTCGCTGGACCAGCGGGGTCCGTGTCCAGCGAATAAGACAGAGTAACAGCAACGCGTGGAAAACAGCCGTCAGCATCGCCAACCACGTTAATGCCTTAATGGACGTCTCGATGCACAGACGCTCAGTGATCTAGCTAGGAGTTGTGTGAAATACTGGGGCAGTCCTTGCACGTTGAATATCACAATAAAATTACAGGAACGCTTATAGATGCAGGTGCTTTATTTCACCTGTGGTACAACGTAATTTTATAATAATTGAAAACATCGAACTTTCCTTATAACATCAAAATTTGCAAGTGCTTGTGTGTGGTGATACATTTCGCCGTTTTGATTCAATCCATTTTCCCACTTCACTTACCGCCGCATGCGGCTTTCGCTACGAGCTGAGAATACTGCCAGCCATCAAAGTCGGACAATCTGAAAAAGCACACTAGCAACACAGGAAACAAGACAGCTGCCATCCGAGAGCGAATGACCGAGGAAGCCACTCCTCCGCTGGCTCCGCACGCACCATTCGCCGTTGTAAACTTGCAGCTGGATGTACAGTACTTTCTTGGTAATATTCCAAAACGGACTACTCGTAGGGATTCTAGACTATATAATTTCATGGTTTAATAATTCTCGGTTTTCTATCTTCCACAATCCCAAAATACCGTGGTGTGATCAGCGCTCAATCATTCTGCGTTCTTATCAGAGAGATTATGGAGAACTTGTGTGCCAAGATGGGACGTGATCCAGCCCGTACCCGCTCTACATGATCAACAGCGAACCCTGATGATGTGCACGTCATCCCCGTCGAACCGCTGCAGAGACCTTGCCGCAGCAGCAGCGTGACGTTGACAGTTAGCCGTCATCGAGCCAGGAGCCAGGCACCCTGTTGCTACAGACTAACAGGTAAAACGAGACAGTCAGGGTTCTTAATGGTGTTTTTCTCATTCTGTGATAACACTCGGTGCGGAGTGTCGCTTGTGACTTGCGTATATGCGTTTGGCGTTGTAGTGCGACCACCGGCACTAGCGTCCGTGGTGCAGCCATGCCAAGACACGGACGGATGGCCGCGTCCGTTGGAGCAGGCCGTAGCGTCCGTTCCTCTGGACCTGCTCTTCCTCACGCTCCCATCGCAACTGAAAGCACGCACCTTCTCGCTCTTGAGCACGAGGAAGCGTTGAATTTTGCAGTGGGAAATGTGAGACAGAAAGACGTGAGTGAATGCTTGTTGAATTTATTCTCTAATTATTACAAGCCGAAATTCGCGAACATATAGAAGCAGTTAAGTTTTGAAAGAACCTTGACGGCTTCCATCTTCCCGCATTTTGATCACTTTGAGTGTTCAGGACTGCGGGTAAGACTGAAGCTGGTTAATGGTTCTTGAACCACAAACTGTTATTCTTATTACAGAGTGGTCCGGAAGTTGGCGTTCTTCTGCCATCAACGGCTGCGGTGATCCGGCGACCGGCAAGTAACCGTCGGACGGCGAAGAAGGCGCGAAAGCGGGCAGCGCGTACGTCTCGGCCTGCTACTGTTTTACTGCTACTCAGAAAGCAGCCCCAAACAACGGCCCCAAATTAGTCCTTGGGATAAAAGGATATGCCAGTCAGAGGAACTTCCGTGCGAATGTACGATGTGTAAGCATTTGATGTCCAACGACCAGCACGCTGAATATCGTGGTGCGATGTAGCATTCGCAGCTGCAGAATGCGTTGCAAGGAAAAAATCATCAACATAGTGCAACATGAACTTATGCCCAGTAACATGCACAAATACCCAATGCACTGCATCCGAAATTAAGCAGAATATGAAAGGTGGAGAACGTGAGCCGAAAGGTAGAACAATATCGAAGTAGAAAAGGCCGTTACATTGGTAGCCGAGCAGATGCCAATCAGCCGGTCTGACTGATACAAGGCGAAAAGCATGCTGAATATCAAATTTAGACATAAGAGCACCTTTACCCAATTGCAGGAGAAGTTTTACAGCATCGTCAACATTGCAAAATGCCAAAGAATAATCCTCTTTGCTAATATAATCGTTAACACTTTGGCCGGTTGGTCGAGACATGTCCATAAGAATTCGAAACTTCCCATCCGGCTTAGGTCTTACACCAAGGAAATTATTAACAAACGTTGGAAAAGGCGGAGAGCTGAAAGGGCCGACCGAGTGTATAAGCGACACTTCTGCATCAATTTGCGTCTGAAGATGTGTAGCGTAAGTACGAGCAGATGCAGCATTAGGTGTACGCATGCTGCGCTTCGGACCACGATAACCAATGTCGGCACCATGTCGTAAAATGTTCAATAAATAGGATACGAACTGCTGATCAGGATGTTCTTTAAGGAAGTGGGCAAATGCATCTGCCTTTAGCGGAGTAACGATAGTTTTAGGAATTACTGCTGTACACTTTTGCTTTGCACTGCGGCTCTCGATGTTCACGTTGACCGCAGTTTGCACACCGATGTTGACGGCCGTATCGGCAGAGCAATCCGGTGGTACATTGTCCTTTATTCCACAACTGGCAGATTTCGTCAGGTTTAGATCCCCCGTTACCGGCGGGGAGGTTAAGAAAGGACTGCCCAACCCATGAAGTCCGGCGACTGCTGGTAGCGCTACGCAGCAATGGACATTCCGGCCGGATGTGTCCGTATTCAAGGCTGTGGAAACACTGAATAATGGTTTTACCCACATTGACTGCAGGTTGATCAAAATCAAGCCCGAGTGGCTGTGACAAGTACTCAGCGTAAGCGTCATCGTTTTTACGAGACCACTGCATGACGTCGTCTGGGTTACGACAGATCGCCAGTCGGAACTGGCGGTCGTAGGCAAGCCACTGTTCAGGTGTAATTCCTTTAAGCGCTGCAGTTTGTGCGATGTGGTCCATATACTTGGTCATTGGCAACCACAGTTCCGGGTATATAGCGCAGCGGTACATCTTCAGAACATTAAACGCTCTTGACCACTGGTGGTGGTCACGAATCTGCTCGGTTTTCGAGGCATTACTCTTGGAGCTGGATGAGGCATGCGGTGTGCGGTTGTTCGGCAAAAGGTCATTAAGATTCACAAATTCCTTTTTGCTGAATAACTTGAACAGGAGCGCATTGTCATCAACCGGTGGCAATAAAGCCTTTACATTTTCCGGCAACGATTCCAGTATAACGATGGCTTTACGGTTAAGAACGGCGGTAGTATTATTACTACTAAAGTCAATGCCTGTAGTGCCGTCTAAAGTGAAACCTTTACCTGGCTCTGAAACAGGGGAAAGGTCTCGGACTTCTGACTGCGGTTAGTCGGATTTACCGGCATCTCGAATTCGAATCCGGCGCGTTGATGGCGAAAACGAACGGATACTTTGATCTGTCGCAGGGATTACTGTAGCCACAGAAGCCGAAAGGTCTGCAATCTGTTTCTTCAACTGAGCAAGTTCATCTGCCACCGATTTCTTTTTGGTTACTCCGGCATTTGAAGGTGCGCTACGGGTGTTAGCGCCCTGTCTACTGGAACTGACACGGCTGGTGCCTCGAGGTCGTTCGCGCCCACGTGCACGATTCGAACTGCCACGTATAGCCGGCGGTCCCATGATTAGCGGTGATAGATTGCGAAATGCGTGAAAGGCTTTCAGATACTTGTTTTCCAACTCAAACTTGACTTAAATTCAGCAAAAAAAAAACCAGTTCAACAGTAAAACAGTTCAACTTAAACTTAAACAGTAAAACAGTAAAACAGTTCAACTTAGGGCATCCAGAGCGGCGGTGTTCAGAAGAAGCCCAGAGGAATGGTAAGCATTCTGTACTAGTAAGTAACCACCTTTCAAATTCTTCAAATTTCTTCTTAGACATCCGCGAGCAGTCGAAAAATTCTTTAGCTGATACCAAAAAAAAAATTACCAAAACCTGACGCCTGATATCTTTTGTTGGCGCCACAGTACAAGTTTACGACACCGTAAGCAAAGTCTAGTTCTTACCCAGTACAGGACCATGATAGTCTCGGTTGCCAGGTGTGTTGAACGCGTAGGGAAAAAATCCTTTTAAAACGAGATTGTCAATTCCCAAATCCTTCGGAAGCTCCGAAAGAGAACGCGGCATAAAGGAAAGCGTGTCAATAAACTTGCACTTCAGCCCAGGGATTTTTAACATTGTGATGCTGGAACCATCTTGAATTTTTTCAACGACGTGACCTTCCTTTTCCAATCCACTAAGGATAAAAAAATTGTCTTAACGCTTTCCGTTGTGTGATTAAAAGGTGCACGATCGGTAGTTTCTAAAAATCCATTCGAGTAGTTCGGACACACATCTATCTCCACTGAAGCAGACTTCAAACGCATCATCGTCCAAGCACATCATGGCCACGACCATCGGCTGGTGATATCGACTGTTATCAAGACATGTTTCAAAATCAAAGACAAATTTTTTGTTCTCGAAACGGGCTTGCTGTTTTCTATTTGCTTCGGAAATCGTGGACTCGCAATCTTCATACTCATTATCAGAGTCATCACTAACGTCTCCCTCTGCATCATCACAAAATTGCTCGCTGCATGCGTCACTTTCCGCAGCATCGTCCAAAAAATCAGACACCGCGTCATCTTCAGATGCAAAAGTTTCGCTTTCAGCAACAGTTTGAGTCTTAGGTTGTGCTTTCTTGTTTTGCGCCTTCTCTCCGTTCAGAATATAGCAAAGGTGGTTAGGAAGAACAAATTCTTTACAGTTCAGGCACAATGTTGCAAAGCAGACATGCGGATCAGAGTACTTCCGGGCCCGGCGGGTTAATAAACCTAAATAGTTCAGCACCTGACGCCACACAGTAAGCTTCGACGCCACTATTAATATTAAAGTAAGAAAAATCAAAATTCTAATATTACCTGTTACATTCGTCACACTTTTTTCAGGCGTTACAGATTGGCAGATCTTTCGTCCGGTGCGCGATTCTGTGTTTGTGCTTTTCAAAGCACTCATCGGAAGAGAAGTTCCGGTTACAATCGTAGCGAACTCTTTTAACGAAATCATTAAGATGACAGTCTGACTGCATGCAGCCATAGCAGGGACGAAAACATTTGTGATCTTTTTTCTCGTGATAGATATTTCCGCAGGTAAGGCATCTTCCTCTAAATCCAAGAATTACCCATGGCTTCGTTACACAATCGAAATGTTGATTGTGGTAAAGAACTGCGACAAAATTCTTTCGAAATGGCGTAGAATACGTAACTTCAAATTGCAATTCTGCGTCGATTACAATTAGCTGGGTGTCATAACGGTCTGATAAAAGTTTGCCGAATGTTTCAATGGCATCGTAATCCACTGGGCCATCAGGAACACCCGCTTCTACTCGCAACTGTGCCGCTAAGTCATGCTGCTTCCGTTTTTGAGACTGGTGTACATTTTTAAATCCAGGAAGGCCAAGGGTTGTTGCCAATCCCACAACAATTGCTCTCGAAGCACAAAAAACTCCCTTAGGGTCAAAACTCGCGTTGCTTTTTATTCTCACAATGCTTTTCGAACGCTCGAGCAGTTCGTCTATTTTAAAAGTAATTCTGCTTTTTTTGGCTGACAAGCGACCATGTCCAAGAATATTCCGACATAAAGTGTATGTAATTCTTAAGTCGTCGGTAAACAGATAAAAATTTGCTCCACCTTGCATGATGCGGATGATTAACTGGATGATAAAATTAGGACTTATCTGACTCGCTGGCATTACCGGGGTTGAGAATGCACGATTCGCCAGTTCGGGGTGTTCAAAAACGAGGCGCACTCTGTCATTCCTGTTCACTTGGTGGTAAGCTGAGAGCTCTCCCAAAAGTTGTCTAAACAGTTCGCGCACTTCCGCCGAGGCAGCCATCAGTGTCATTGGCTGTGGATTAAGCCGAAATATGAGAGCAAAACTGTCTTCCGTGGTGCGAAAGTTGTGTGCGGATGTGATTCGTCTTGTATTAGTTGAATGGTAGCACAAAAGCGCAATCGCTGAGGTAATATGATATAAACAATTACGGGCATGGGAGCATAATTACAGTTTGCACTCAAAACATGCGATTAATTGTGCATTCATGCAGTAACAAAAACAGCATAACTCCGCTTCTTCTTTTTGGATGCAGTGCCTCGTCAAACTTACTGAAATCCGTTATTAGGACCAAATCCTTGGCCATTGTTATCGTTTCCGTTCATACCGTGCCCATTATTGTCGTTTCCGTTCATACCGTGCTCGTTATTGTCGTTTCCGTTCATTCCGTGCCCATTGTTGTTATTCCCATTAATACCAGAACCGTGCATGATGTTCATCATCATGTCGTACTCCCGTTGAAATGCATTCGGTTCATACCAATGCGGAAACGGCTGCCCAAATCCTGGCATACCAGCGTTGTAGCCTGGCATAACGGGGATGTATCCCGGGATCCCCCATGGACGCACCAGCTGGAGAGGAACGTTCGGCCTAATCGTCATTTCGGCACGTGGAACTGCTAGGACCATATGCGAGGTGTTGGAGTGCGGTCCCGAGACAAACGGTGGACGCTGAACTCCGGGTACGGCCTCTGGCGGACGCCGCAATCCGGGTATAGCCACAGGTGGCCACGGTCGTGGAGCTGGGGGAGCGCTAAGCACACCTCTAGGAAGTCCAGCTCCGTACTGTACCGGCGAGGCAAGCATGTTTGCGAAGCGCTCATGGATCGCCTTTCGTTTCTTGTACGGTGCCGGTGGCGCTTGCTTCCGGTTCCCAGGTGGGGCGAGATACGTTTGCACAAGAGGCTTCCGTTTTTTAGTCTGAGATGATGAAACGATGACAATATCATCATCGTAGTCGTCTGCTTGATCAAGATTTTCCCAAGCCGCTGTATACATAAAATTATGGTATGAAAAAATCTAGATGTGGCACTAAAATTGATGTTATACTCATTTAAGCTAAAATCAGTTGTATGTCAGTGTACTTACGACTTTGGGCCGGAAGCCGACCGTTGGTTTCCTGTTGGACTGGTTGGTCAGTTACGACGACGACATCACTGTCATCCGCTTTTCCCTCCAGGTTGGGTGTTTTCACTCACTAGAAATATTTCTTAACATAATAATTGTATAAATAAATCTGAAAAAAAAATTAATACCTGCAGAATTGCTTGTCGAAGGCGTAGAATCACGGCTTCCAAGAGCATGAGCACTTGCTTCGTTAATGTTGGCCATGGCTACCAGATAAGCGAAATAAATTTCTTGTTTTATTTAATTTAAATGTATCATGTACGTACCTGCTTCAACTTCAGCGTTGGTAACTTCCGGCCAAGCTTTTTTTGCCATAGCTGACAAAAAACTTCGGTCAAAAATAGCGCTTAGATTTAAATCGTCCACGTCGATGTCGTTGGTACAGCTGGTATTCGGCGTAGAAGTTGCACGAGAATCCATTTTCAAGGAATCAAATGTTTAGAATTACAACGGTTCGAAATTTGAGAAGTTCAAGTGATCGTGCACTGATAGACCTATAACTGATCGTGTACCTGCGGCGGCGCACTGACCACCGTCCATCCAGCTTAAGATCTGTGTTTTTTTTTAAATTTTATGGCATTTCATGCTCCATTATTGGCCACACGTGCGACTGTCTTGTATTCGGTTCATATACGACTTAAACTGCTATGCACATTGTGAAAATCGTGCATTGCACACTTTTGCCTTTATTTATGATCGCTAATGTGTGCACACGATCGTTAATCAACATGTAATGTACTCAGGTGGACCGTAAATATTCAGATTTGGTTATTGTGTTTATAACACACGGTAGTATTGTTACTGATATACATGGTGTACAGTTATGCGGTTCGCTTGTACAGACGTGGGAATATTACATTGTTGTCCGAGCTTTCTACGTGGCGTCATGATATAACATTGGCGTCAAAGCATCACGTTGGCTTAAGCATATTATTATTTCCGTTGCAACCAAAAATAAGTTCATATCGCCATTGGTATCCTATCAAACTGCATGAAATACTACCGAAACATCGAAGCGACACTAAAACATGCATTATTATTCCACAACATTACTACATGTAGCACATTCGTATTTATTACAGCTTAAATTATTCATAACACGCAGTACAGATAATGCTCACATTATTAGAAATCCAAAATGCAACAGTTTCATTGCTAGCAGAATTCATTCATCAGTAATTGGCCCGTAATGAGTACCGTCATGCTCCACGATTTTTCCTCCGCGGGCAAACTTGATGTACTTCCGCTGCGGTTCCGTCCCTTCCTGAGCAGCTTGCGCTTCGTCAATGAAAAAGTAAAAGCACGGACTGCGATTCATATCGCCGGTGACATTACGCGTGCACATCTGGCGGGCCTTGGAAACTGCGTTGTGCGAGAAGATGTTGACGGCTGTCTTATCTTTAGCCACTTCCCAACAATAACCGCACGCGTATCCACCGTATTTCTCGACCTGCTCCATTCCCTTCTTGAGAGCCGCTGACATCACGTTGTTGTGATCGCGCCACATGGGCAGCAGTCGATCCTCGTGGCCTTCCGGCGCTTCCGGAATGCTCTGCCAATCAACGTCTCCTAACTCAGCCGCATCCATCAGAAACCAGCCGTCCCAATAGCCTGAAATTAGCAGCCGCCCGTTGCGTACGTGACGCGTCGATTCGTCGATATTAAAGTACGCGATAGTATCATCGTAAATCACTGTTGTTCGCTTCTTCCCTCGGGCTTTCTCCGGCTCCGGAACAGCTCCAGGACCAGATGTCCGAGCTTTCTTCACACTCTTCTGCGCTTTCAAGGCCTAAAAGGGCACGCACACGCATTAGCATTATACAGCATTGTACATTGAATGCTTATAATAAGTTGAAATTATATGTGGCGTCAGAACTTTTATATCAGGCGTCATGACGTGTATTTGCTGCGTTAAAAAGTACTTAACGTTGTTAGTAAACATAAAAAGAATTGCTTTACATTCGACTTACTTCTTTGATGTGGTAGTCAAAGTTCCCAGGATCCGATGGATCCGGAAACTCCGGACTGTCAGCACGTTGTCCTGACCCAGACTGTGACCCAGCGCGAGAACCGGCAGCCGGTGATGCCGCCCGGTGGACCGACGGGGCGCTCGATGACGCGTGGGATCCGGCACGGCTTGCGCTCTGTCCCGAAGCTGCTGGCTGGTTGGGCAACGTTACCCCAATGCCGGCAATGTTGCCGGTGGTTCGCGTCGCCATCCGTTCAGCTATTACCTTCAGAGCCCGCTCCTTGTCATATTCTGCATCCTGATCCATCGTCTTCTCAAACTACACAATACCAAATGAAAACAGTTAATTGTTTTTATACAATAAAACGATTGGAAAAGTTCATCCGTATGCTTGCCTCCTCGTCCGACAAACGTGCCAGCGCGGCTTTGCCGCGATCTCTCCATGGCACGTATGGTGCAGATCTCCCAGCAGTGTTGTTGCTCTCCTAAACAATGCCGTAATCTCAATGAATACGTAAAGAAAAGCATGGTACAGTATGGGGACAAGAGTACCGTTTTAGATACACGTACCTCTACATTCACGCCCGTACGATCCACAGAGACGCTGGTAGGGCTGTTGTGGGACGAAGACGCTAGTGCAGGAGCAGGTGCAGACGGTGGTTGAGCACGAGGAGACGACGCGGGCGTGCGAGCAGGAGAACCATTGGCCGGAGAACCATTGGCCGGAGAAACGTGTGCGGGGCTATCGCAGATGGAGGTAGACGGCGATGCCCGTGGAGTTGCGGTCGCAGAAGCGGCTGGCGTGATCGTGGATGCAGTGCGGGAACGTGTGGCGCGGGGACTGCTGGACATTTTTTCCTGTCAAATACACAGGTGTACTACTTACACTTAATCGTGCTATTCATGCAAGTAAGCCGAGTTTTGAGTCATACCATTTTTAAAGATTAATTTTAACGTAAAAACAGCATTAGTTATGACGTTTACGAGCACGCTGTACAACTGTACACTTGATTACTGTAAGTTAAAATTTAATAGTTAAAAATAACTGCACATGTACGAGTACTGTACTTACGTGTTGTAAAGGGCGTCGCAGAGACAATAACGGGGTGGAAGTGTCAGGTGTTTGATGGTGAGGAAGGTTCGGAAGATATCGGCAGAAGATGATTGAAAGAATTTTTATCAAAATTTGTGGTTCTTTGCAAGTTACAGCGGACTGTACTGAATGCAGGCGAAATTTGATGGGCATGCGTGCTTCTGCACACTGCCGTAGCAACTGCATCCTGTTACAGCGCTGGCCTTTCTACGAAGTACGTTAATTGCACTACGCCGTTTAATTAATCGCTGGCATACTTATTTGTGCATGTCTTCCATGTCCAGTGTCTTTTCTCTGACCAGAGAGCATTTAATTACTAACCGTTACGGTCATAAAATCAGGAATGCGGTAATAAAACGCTGATACAGGTGTGTTTGTTCAGCTGTGTTGTGGTTCTCCCTGATCCCTATTAAAATGTTTATTTACATAAGAACACTTTACGACTTTGACTTCTCCCTGCTCCCTTTGACCACCGGTCATTAAATGGAAGTTATAAGAACATGAGCTTCTACTTTATACGCTTACGGCGCGCCACACTGCTTAAATACGTAACATACAATCTGACTAAATGAGGAGGCTACGGTCTATGTTAAAAAGCCAGCGAACAGCCTTTTTTGCCCGCTGAGGCTGGTTGATCAATGCAGCTTCTCTGCTGTGACTATAAATAGACCGAAGACATCGGATTCCAGTGCTGCCAAAAAGCGCAAGCTGAATGGTGCCTTGCTGTATCGATCGATCGGCACATGTGTGTGCGAGTGGGTTAATCCGCTCGCATTCACTTACACGCGTATGAGTGTGGCTGTCTGTGCGCGTACTAGCTGTACAAACCGGTTTTCGCTGTCTTCGCCAAACGCATTACCCTAAACCCGTAGCTTCCTTAGTAGTATGGATTCATTATCGTACCAGAAACTATATAACGAATGGACAGATTCCGAATTGTTGCAGAAAGAACGCCCGAATGGACATCTGATCTTTTGAGCCAAATCGGTAGTACTGTGTACCGTACGTACGTACTAAGAATGTTTGAGTGACTTGTAATTGTACTACTAGTAATGCTTGTGTGCGCTGCGATCAGCTTACATTGCCTTTCTATTGAGTTGTGTGGTATACTGTAGGTACTTGAGAAAGAATTATCGTACGGCTGGTTGTAAGTACTATGTATATATGTTGCATTATGTAGTGGAAGATTATTATCCTGCCAACCTACGTCAGTACATGTTTTTACCCTGAGTGAAAGCACAAAAATTAGTACTTAACGTCCAGTTCTTGTTATCATAAACGTAAAACCAGGGAAAAAATAAAATAACTTATAAACATGGCGACAGAACACGAAAGGAAACTAAAAAAAAATAAATAACTTAGCAGTTGTGTAAAGAGGCGGATGCGTTCTCCGTGTAATGCTCTCTGGTAGTGTAGGGCATCGTGTGGTAAAATGCTGCGGTCCGATGGTGAATGTATGCGTAATCCGTAATTAAGTCTGTAAAAAGAGCAGCTTTATAAAATTACCAAACGGTCCAGTTTTGTTTTGTCCAAGAAATTGCAGGTGAGACTTACCGCGGAGGTTGAGGACACCAGTCAGCCGATGTTCAGGTGGTCCGTTGAGGATCCTGGTGCTGAGTCGCAGAAGGTCCAGCAACTGCGATTCAATCGCGTGGTGGCGAGTTCCCAAAAACCCCGACGAATATTGCTGCATTGGTTGTTGGTTATGAAACAGCATCGTCGGGGCGTTTTCCGGAGGGGGCGATTCCGGGGAATCAGGTACCACGGGGGAGACGTTCGGCGATAAAACAGGTGAACTGGGTGGTGACGGTGACGAGATAGGAGAATACGACTCTAAAATCTCTGCAATTGCAGGCGTGGTTTGGGGCTGTTCAGCTAATACTCGTATCGGGGGCAGTGCAGAAGGCATAGCGCGGGCCCAATGCGGAACTGGCCACGATACTGGTGGTGTTAAAGGCGGCAAGAGCGGAGGACTGTGGCGGACAACTGGGGATAAATGTAGAGCGGATGGCGGAGAGACCTCAGGAGCTGCCGCGATCGCTGCTTGAACTCCAGCTGATCCCAGCGCGTGGGAAAGGATGGTGGGGTTGAATGCCAGCGGACCAAACTGGAAGCGTGGCGGTGGAGAGTGAACAGGTGAATAGTTCTCGCGAACGGGAAACATTGGAGAATAAAAAACCAGTGTGGCAGTGGGTGATGGCGTAAGTGATCGACGCGGCTGCGCACAGTATGGTGTAGGAGCGCGGCGGTTGGGTCCCCGACGGTTATGAAAGCTACGACTCATGTAAGCGGCCTGCCAGAAGGATCCATGGCAAGGATGGCAGCGTCACAACAGAGTGTAAGAAAGACAACAGTATACGTTATAAAGTTATATTTTAAAGAACAAAAATGTCAAAAAGCTGAATAAATTCTAACACAGTTTGCCGTCTTTTATATAGGCCCACAGGGATCACTGATTTCAGTGATCCCTGCGTAGGGATCACTGACTTCAGTGATCCATAAAAAATGTTGCTAGGCACGGGATAACCGAAGATGATTACCTCAAGCAGAAGACTAAGATTCCGGAATACTATATAAGGTCAACCAGCAAATTTATTTTGTGACCTTTATTTTGGTATTTATCATTAAAACATGGATAATTTCTTAGAAGAATTATTTGTACCAGATGCAAATGCACCACGCTATACGCAGGGCGCTAGCGCCTCCAACACTGCTGTCTCGTTCGACTTCGGGTGGCTCGATGAAGTATTGGGAGGACTGAACGGACCTGCACAGGCACAGGAACCCAATGGCACCACACCCATGTCGATCGTCTAGACGGGCACCGTTCGTGATGGGTTGGAGGATGAATACGCATGGTTAGACGATTGGCTCAAAGAAATAAATGGATCGGAAACCAGTCAGGTCCTTGATAGAATGGAGGAAGACCAGACATCTGCACAGCGTAAATAATACGTTTGTACTTACATTTTATTGTAATCTAAATTAATTTTGATTTTGATTTTCATTAAAATTTTTTTTTATTAGTAGGAAACGGTTTGGTGTTCAGTGCTGAGCAAAATCAGGAATTCTTTCCAGGTATGTGACCGACAATATTTCACGGATTTGGCCTGCGATATTCGTATACGCAATACAAAAGTATATTATTTTTATTTTAAGTTTTCAACATTTATTTTTTATTCAGTTTGTTTAAGGTCATTCAATTAATATTTTCCTGTTAGCTGAACGATATCTAATCTGTTGTAGCGGACTACGTTGACTCAATTATATATCAATTTCCGGTTGATTCGAGTATCGCTGCGGAGGACATCTGTATGACGGAAGGTCCCAGTGAAGCACAAAATGAGATTGCACCACTTCCAGTACAGAATTATTGGGCGGACAACCACGGTAATCGTACAACAATCTGATATTTTTTGAATAAATTATTATTTTGTTTTATTTAAACTCATTTGAAGGCCTACCCCATGTTGTTTGCCTGCTTTGTTAGTTACCTGATGCACTAAAAATCGCGCGTTTAATGTTTGCTTGTAGGTCACGAAGCAGTATGCTACGATTACAGTGCGCCGGCGACTGTAACCATTTTGGATGAAGGAGTAGTACCAGGAGGATGGGTTTTTGAGGCCATTGCGATGACGCTGCTGCCACCGGTTGCACCTAAGTGGATACGTACGAACCGTGAAACGAGCACCAATAAACTGGTGCCAGCCCCTTTGCGCCACGTCCCGTGGGACGTCAGAGCGAAGAATTTGCTGATGTATTTTGGTGGTTCCATCGACAGTGACGGGTGGTTTAGCCATGCAATGCTTGTGTTTTTCACTAAGGAAAGTATTTTGGAAATTACGCGACAAGAACTACAGGTGCTTTTGAAAAACCTTTTTGCGGGTGGTTGGCACAAAGACGTTAAGTATGTTGTGGACTGCACTAACGGGAGACAAGTTCCTGTGCCACCGTATCGCCGGATCAGTCCAACACTGCTGGGGTGGCATCGGGATTTTGTAAATGGTAGCAAGTCGCGCCATAAGGCAGCGACTACATATCTGACGTTAACACGCGTCTCGCATTTTAACACATATGAGGGATGTGTGAACCTTAATCTGCATGCGATTGAATATTTACAGTCTCACAAAGATAGATTTGCTGACCTGGTTCCAGATGATGTGGAATTTCCCGAATTAGTTACCTAAAACTGTTGGTTGTCTTGTTGAATCTGACTGCTAAAAAAAACAAGCGAAATGCGAAAAAAAATATTTTTTATTTGCGTTTATCTTGCGTTGGACAAATAAGAAATATTACTGGATACTACTAGTACAAGTTGTAATGGTTTCTGGTCATCATTAGTACTAAATGCAGTACAAGCGAAGTACAAGTTATAATCGTTTTCAGTGATCCCTATATATACAATTTAAGTTGCGCTAGTACGAATTGTAACTGTGTTCCGTGATCCATACGTACAAGATACCGTTGTTTGAAAATTACGGGATAATTAGAACAATATTTGCGGTAGTATAAAACGCGTAAAACGCAACAGTTATTTTCTCAATGGATAAATTTGCGAAACGATGGATAACTTGAATATGGATGCACCGTATGCAGTAGAAGATTTTATTAGCGTTGAATGTACCGGTGAGAAGTTTTCCCATAAATACCGGCTTCATTTTAAGTGCTTTTCGGTAAAAGTTTCGGAGCTTGAAAAAGTGCCCTTTTCCGATATTCCAGTGGTCATAACCCAGATTATCGAGAACATACTGGAGACACTTTTAGAAAATGTTGGACCAGATGAAATGGTTCGCATGCGCCTGGACTCAAATTCACTGAACCGGCCGATATGGACACCACCTATCAAACGATCACAGTTAACTGTGACCAGATGGATGGCAGAAGTCGCTCGGGTGTTAAATTCTTATGAGGAATTCGTCATCGATGACTCCTTTGAGATTTCCGTACAGTATACTGATATCCCGAAAGGAACATGCAACCGCGATGTTCCTGCCCTCTTACGACGAAGATTAGAAACGATGAAATCGGTGGTTGTTATAAAAAATTCCGACCAAATTTGCCTAGCCCGGGCTTTGGTTATTGGTAAAGCCCACGCGGACGGAAACAAAAACCTTTACCGGAAGCTGCTGCGAGGAAAGAAACTGCAAACAAGAGAAGCTCAGTGCCGTCCAACGAGCTGGATTTAAGGAGCAGGAATTTAATCTACGTCACCTACACAAATTTCAAGAAATCCTGCCCCAGTACCAGATCGTTGTGGTCAGTGTCGATCATGCAAATCTCATTGTCTTCAGCGGTGCTGTCCAAGATAAAAAAATCGTCCTACTGCATCACGACCGCCATTTCGATTTGCTCAACTCCTTGCCGGCATTCTTTTGCAAAAGATATTGGTGTTATTCCTGCAATAAGGGATACTCTAACCGAGGGGATCATCGCTGCTCTCAAACGTGCCGAGCTTGTCTCCGGTCCTCCTGTCCGTCCGATGCGACCTCTATGGTTCACTGTGACGATTGCAATCGGGACTTTTTTGGTCAAGATTGCTTCGCGCAGCATAAAAAAGCTGGTACCAAAGCCCAACCATCACGCAAGAGCATCTGCAGTATGGTGTTTGTCTGCAAGAAATGCCTGCGGATAGTCTCCATGCGGCAGAGAAAAAATGAAAATACTCGTCAATGCGGTGAAATCTTTTGCAAAACGTGTAGAATTCATGCTCTACCACAACAGCATCAGTGCTACATGAAACCACACAAGGTGGATGCCGATGAACTGGAACTGAATGAAAACGCTGACTTTTTGTATTTTGATTTTGAGACGTATGTCTCGGAAAACGGAAATTTAATACTTAACCTTGCGGTGAGTCAAAATGTAACATGTTCAAACCTCGGACCGTTGGTAACACAAGTGGTGATTGTAGGTTGTACAGGACGACAGCGGTAGTGAGTGGGTGTTTCCTGAGGATGACGTCCCGCTACATGGTGACATAACGAATGAATTATGCACATTTCTGTTCCAAGAGCAACACCGCGACCACTTTATCATTGCCCATAATTTCAAGGTAATAACAGTCTTTTTTTAATTTTGTTTTTTGTTTTGTTATGACTTTTTTTTTCATCAGCCTAATAAAATAAATTTTTTTTCTCACGCAGTCTTTTGATGGATACTTCATTCTCAACTGGCTGCTTAAAAACGGCATCGTACCGAAAGTTATTCTGAATGATGGGAAGATTTTAAAATTGGATGTGCCTCAGCTGAATATCCGATTCCGGGATAGTATAAACTACAACCCTCAAAGCCTTGCAAAATGGCCGGCTACGTTTGGTCTACCAGAAATCAGCAAAGGAACGTTCCCGCACCGGTTTAATCGGAAAGAAAATTGGAATCAGATAGCTCCCTTTCCCTCAGTGGATGAGTACGGGTTTCAAGGAATGAACAAAAAATCAAAGGACTCCTTTCTGCGTTGGTATGAGAAGGAGAAGCAGGAAAAAAATAACCAGTTTGATTTCCGGAAAGAACTTGTGGAATACTGTAAAATGGATGTTACGGTTCTTCGAATTTGCTGTCAGCAATTCCGAAAGCTGTTCCAAGAAATAAGCAAAGGATTATGTCCGTTTGTTTCGTCGTTAACTATTGCGGAATTGTGTAATCGGTATTGGCGATCCTTCATGCTGAAGCCTGAGCAGATAGGTCTGTTACCGCATGGTCTAAATGCCCGCAATCGGCATCAGTCGGAAGAAGCTAAGAAATGGTTATTGTGGATGGAAGAAGAAAGTAACCGCACTTTCCAGTCTGTGATAAACGGGTCTGAATACAGGATTGGACCTTACAACGTTGACGGTTACAGAGAGGACATTAACATGGTCTATGAATTTTATGGATGCAGGTTTCACGGCTGCCCCGAAATGTGTAGCGCGGACGACGACCATCCGTTTCGGGATATTTCAATGTCGGACGTTTACAAGGAAACTCTTGACCGAGAAGATTATTTGCGAGGACAGGGCTACAATGTGACCTGTATTTGGGAACATGAATATGATGACGAGTTGAAGTCAAACCCGGATGTAAAAGCATTTGTGTCGCAGCTTCAGTTTATGCAACGGCTTGATACCCGGGATGCTTTCTACGGAGGGAGAACGAATGCCGTGAAGTTATTCCATCAAGTCGTTGGAGACGAAAAGATTTGCTATTTTGACGTTAACAGCGAATACCCCTTCGTCAATGAAAACCGACGTTACCCCGTGGGACATCCTACCATAATTACAAAGAATTTTAACGATATCCAGACCTATTTCGGCCTGGTTGTGTGCACAGTATTACCACCGGGCGATTTACAATTTCCTGTTTTACCGTATCGCTGTGGAGGCAAATTAACCTTTCCCTTGTGCAGAACGTGCACGGAAAAACATTAAAACAGCAAATATCAACATGCCGATTGCGATCGAACAATCACTGGAACATGGTGTACACCCGAAATCCAAAAAGCGTTGGACAACGGATACAGTATTGTAAAAATATACGAAGTTTGGCATTTCGATAAGTATGAAGATCGCCTTTTTGAAAACTACATTAACCAGTTCCTTAAACTGAAAACCGAGTCCAGCGGATGGCCGGTAGAAATATGCAGCGAAGCGGAGAAGCGCAAATACATTGCGGACTTTAAAGAGCACGAAAACGTGGACTTGGACTACGACAAAGTTAAACCAAATCCTGGTTTAAGAGCACTGGCGAAATTGTGCTTGAACAGGTATTCACACAGTCTTTTATTCCGTTTTTCAACCTTTTTTAAAAATTCTTTTGGTTCCAGTTTTTGGGGCCGTTTTGGAATGCAAGATAACAAGCTGAATACCATGTACATCAGCGAACCAGAAAAATTTTACAACATGCTTTTGTCCGGAAAACATCACGTTCATTCATGGAACCTTTTCACTGATGACATTGTCCAGATAACCTATACCACCGAAAGCGGATTCGTTGACCGCAACCCCCACACCAACGTTATTTTAGCAGCGTAAGAAATAATATTTCTAGAAATAAAAGGCTGAGGTAAAAACCTTTCTTCCATGCTTTAGGTTTACAACATGTTGGGCTCGACTGCATCTACTCAAGCTCATGGAAATGGTGGAAGGCCGCTTATTATATTTTGATACAGGTTAGAGGCGTCCGTAATTTTAAAGGTTAAAGTCTCACGAATTATGCTTTTTTTAAATTTATAGATTCTATCTTTTTCGTGACTCGACCAAACCTTGTGGACCCTCCTACTGGAATATTTCTCGGCGACCTGACTAACGAGTTGAAGCCTGGGCAACACATCGTTCAGTTTGTAAGCCTTGGCGCCAAATCCTACGCTTACGTTACCAACGATGGAGAAAGCGTTGTCAAAGTCAAAGGATTCACCATCAATGGGCGCACAAGCAAACAAGTTAATTATAAAACCATGCTGGACATGTTGGCAAACCGTAGTATTATAGATGTCGACTATCCCGATATTTTGCAGCGAAATAAGTCTATTACGATTCGCAACACCAGTGTGGTTAAACGATTTCAAGTGACGTATGACAAACGCCGTATTGTTGACGATCAGTATAATACGGTACCGTATGGATATGTTCTGGCTTAAACCAGCGATTTATTAAATTTACGAATCATTTCCCGAACTTCCCGAACCGCATCAGGCAACTGATCACAGCTTTTCAATCCTAGGAAATTGCATTTACGAGATGGAAATAGTACAGCACGCCCAACTTTAAGTTTGATTGCTAAACCACTGAACAATTCAGGCGTGTATTCCAAATGAAAATACATGCTAAAATTTTCGATATGCAACCGGTCTGGAAAAGCATGGTTAGCCACAACATTGACCACACGATAATTAGAAACGGTACAAGGAAAGCCTATTCCAGTCGGAATATCAGCAAAGTGACGAACTAAGTCCCGGGAATCCACCTCCGACCGTGCACCATTAACGGTAATCTTACCATTTCGGTATAGCTGGCAGTGTGCTTTGTAGGGTGACAGAATTCGAAGAAGAAGTCCTGAAAATTTTTGTGGTATATACTGTGCCATTGGTACAAGGTTTTCAATCTTGCGCAGGTCCAGGGTAGTGTTTAAGTCCGCAACGGCAACAACATTGGTGATTCTGGGCATCGCAGTGATACCACAAGGCGAACCGTACAGCTTTACGGAGGGTCGACACCGGAAGCGGAGTAAGTTTATGATATGGCGGGCAGCCCAAAGATTCGAAGTTCCTCACTTCTGGCAAAATCTGCTCTCGCAGTCGGCACTTTTCCAGGCCTTTGGCAAAGAATCGCACTTGGCTGGGTCGTCCAATTCTTCGAAAAATATCTTCCAACGCACAAGTTACCTGGTTGTGTCGGTACTCTCCTACCGTATACCACAACAGTCCGTGCGAATGGCGAGCTTGACTTTTCAGAGCGGGTATGTGCTTGCTGGCGATTCGAGGAAGCGTGAAGGTGTACAGGTTTTGTTCGTCTTTGTCCGGACAGTAGAAAGCCAGCTGTTTGATGTACTTGGTTCCATTGATTACGAACCAATCGGTGTCCAGTATGCATGGTACTGCCATTTCGTCTACCAGAGTACTAATCAAAATTCCAGTTCACTGATAGCGTACACAATGGCAAAAGTCTCGTATGTGAATGTACTAAAGACCGTGTATTTGTATCAGGTAGAAGATCACTGAAGTCGGTGATCCATATCGTGCAAGGGATCACTGAACTCGGTGATCCCTGTCGTACAAGAGATTACGGAACTCAGTGATCCCTGTCGTACAAGAGATCACTGAACTCAGTGATCCATATCGTACAAGGGATCACTGGACTCGATGATCCCGGTCGTACAAGGGATCACTGAACTCAGTGATCCATATCGTACAAGGGATCACTGAAGTCAGTGATCCATATCGTACAAGGGATCACTGAACTCGGTGATCCATGTACTTTGCGGGATCACCGAAAACAGTGATCCGTGTACTCGGAATTACCGATATCGATGATCCACTAAGTGTGAACCGAAGATCGCTATAAAAAGCAGGTGTAATCGATAGGTGCTTACCAAGTTGTACTATTTACCTCTTGTTGAAAGTAAACCAACATCACCATGGAATTTATGGACCTGTTTGCATCCAAACGACCGCAGACCGCTGCGGCCAAGCCCAAGAGAAAAGGTCAAGAAGAGGGAGGGAAGCCGGAAATTAAGAAGAGCAAGCCCAACGGTTTACCGAGTACGATATCTACGCATCCGCGATTTGTTTTTGCACAACTGGGAAAGCCGGTCTACCGCTTGGGAAACGACAAGTTCGTGTATGTGGGGCCTAGCGCCGACGGGAAGATCAGTACGATTCTTGTGGTTTTCGGTGAATGGAAGGAGCAGCCGGACAGTTCCTGGAAAGCCAGCTACGGGAAGAACGTTTCATTGTCCAAGATCGGTTTTCTCCGTTTGGCCGCGCTCATGCTGACCGAGAAAGTCGATTTGGATGAAGCGGCCCGTGCCAGTGCTGCCGAAACCGGTCGGTTGACCCCGTTGTATCTCCTGGACAGCAGCATGTACTTTGGTTGGAGCCGTTTCAATGGCACCAACGTGGCGACCTTTCGACGTTTTGAAGTAAAGGGAGGGGATATGATCCCCACCCGCTACGGTATCTCATTTGGTGAGCGCTGCTATGACGGACTGAAGGACCTCATGAAAGGCCTGCAGCTGTTCAAAGACATGGGGAAAATCCAAAAGGAACAGGGGGTCTGCGAACTGGTCAAAGAAGGACTAGAGTACCCTACGCTGTGCGAAAACCTTGCCGAGGCTTTGGCGCCATTGGTAAAGCAGCTGGATGATGGTACTATTAACCAGTGCCATGAAGACAACTATCGACCATCCGACGGCGAATGGGACGGCGCTGTGGAGCGACTGTTGGAATTGCGTATGGTACATGGTATACTGTTCGGACTGGATAAGCTCAGTTTTGAGCAGGCTCTGGACCTGGACGTGGCTGGATTTTTGAAGAAACACGAGGATCAGCTTCGTGAGAATGTGGGTGGAATTATTACTGCTAACAATTGCTAATTTCCTACTGTTTTATTTACTTGAACGACAAACGAAGAAACCGGTCACTGTTTTTCATTTTAATAAACGTTTGCACATTTGTCGAAGCAAAGCTCCATCTACCATGGTTGTATTGATGTCGAAAAATGAATTAACATACTGACACACCATTTTGTCGTTGCTTATTCGGCTATCCGTAAACAAATGCACAATATTAGTGTACGATTCACCACTACAATGTCGTAAAATAAAAAACAAACAGTATTGTCCACAGACAGTGCTAAATTCAGACTGAAGCTGTTCATTTTGTAGAGTAATTTCATTGGCTGTCACCAGTGGCACGAAATGCTGAAAGCAGCTTTCCAAAGCTTTCCCATATGAATCAAATACTTCCATTTTACCGGCTTGTTCCTGGTACAGGGCAATCCACTATCCAGTGCTCGCCTTCCTGGTCAGAGGGGTCGGTATTTACCACACAAGCTCCCGGAAAAGGTGCTAGGATCGTTGGAACTTGATCACTGGCGTAGACCCCACGAAATACCGCTGTTGTCTGTGGATTTCCATGGAGTGCCGAGGTAATTTCCTGTGTATTCATGTTGTAAAGTCCGCAATCAGCTGTCGATGCTGGTTGATTTCAATAATGCTGTCATAGACCAGCATACACACCATCATAATGGTACTTTTCAGTGGTTTCCCAAAAGACACGGAGACACTAAGGTTTCCTTGCTTTATCAGGGTCAATGGTCCACGGCCGGTATGTCCTGGAGTCAGGTCGAAACCGAAAATAGTATATCCGTCGTTATACTGGGTCCGGTTGAAAGGCAGGCCGCCTTGCAGGCTGGGTCGGTGTCCCAGAGTGTCCAAAAGCCCGTCGTAGCACTCCAGAGACAATTTGTGATCGAAACCGGCAGTGTAGGGTTTTGTGGGGTAACTCTGACCGTCCACTTCGACGCTGATTTGTGAAATATTGAAGTGTTGAAAGTTGAAAGGATTTTTCTTTTGCGATCCGTGAAAGTCTTCGCTGTCCACAAAACCAATAAAGATGACTTTGGGGATTTGGCCAATCTGCAAATTGCTGACCACGGTGCTTTGTGTTCGTTGGGGAATGTCCGATACGCGCATCACCACGCGTTCGATATGGTACTTGACCGTTTTTTTTAGGAGTTCTCTGGCTACGGCGGTCAGAAAGTCCGGAAACGGAATGTATCGGCGAACCGTAAGACGCGCGTTACGGATAAACGGTTTAAATGTCTTGGTGGTATCCGTGTCCCATACACGTGAGGCAAACTCCGGTCGACTAACCACAAGGCGAATGTTGACGGGTACACCGGTGCACAGTGGCTTGCTCTGGTCAAATAGGTCGGAAAATAGTTTGCCGGAAAGCTGTACGTACTGTCCGGTATTAAATAACGCCGTTCGATTTTTTTCACCATTGTTTGCGGTTTCACTGTTGAAGGAGCCCGGAGAGTCGTAATAGAAACCGGCAGATGTCAGTTGGCTTTGTTGGGCGTCAAGAGAGTGGGACAGAAGAGATTCCAGGTAGGCGCGATACGGATAAAAGGTGGCGGCATCCGAGATCAACCGGTTGGCCACCGTCACATGACATGAAGAGAACAGTGAGTGCAGAATGTTGTTGACTGGTGCCACACCATCAGCCGTTGTAATCAGTTCCCATTCCCCAGTGCTCTTGCGGACTTTAATACCCACTTCCAGTTCCAGGATCATGTCCGCTAAACTGAGTAGTCCAGATGTGCTGGGTGGAACGAAGAAATTAATGTCGCCGGCCGATCCGTTGTCCGTTAAGATAGTCGTGGGACTGAGCTTTTCGTGCTCAGTGCGCCACCGATCCGTTAGAGTGGCCGGTAATGCAAACAGCTGGTTCTCTAGTTGCATTGCCGGCTCCGAGTTTTCCATCATCAGCATGGCCATTCTCAGAAAAAATCGGGGATGTTGGTAGGAGGAATACGTTTAACTCGTAGAACTTTACGTCGAATACGTCGTTTCTTGCGGATACCTTCGCCTTTTTGGGAAGCAAAACGTTTACCAATGGCTGTTCCCGCACGCGAGGCTACTTCTTTAATAGCCCCGGTCGCCGCTTCTTGCAGGTGAGGGGTAGCCGCTTCCAGAGCGGCTTTGGCATGCGGTGCAGCCTTCCGTAGTATAGGCTGAGCAAAGGCTGGTAGCTTTGCAAAAAGGCTCTTTAAAATCTGTGGGAACCCCGATCCGTTTTGTAGGGTTCCTCGATACCGGATCAGGGCGCTGCCACCCGTTTGACTGACAAAGACGTTCTCGTATCGCCGGGGATCCGGCACGTACGCCACGAGAGGCATTCTAGTAGAGTCGTTGCGGTCGGAAATGCAGTTTCACCAGGGAGTTTCCCGTTTGGAACTTGGCGTCGTCTCCCAGGTCGTTGGCAATGGTCAGTTTTATCGTTTCGAAATGTTGGCGTAGTACTGGGACGTAATGCGGAATATCGAATCTGGCCTCGACAATTTGACTGACTTCTCCTCTAATAGGTACGGAACGTAAAAACTGCGCTGCAGTATCGCCAATCAAGCTGTAGTCGGCCACGTCACTGTAGACAAACAGGCTTTGATTTCCCAGTAGGGTATAGACCGGTCGGTCCGAAATAAAGCTGGTAAGTTTTGGATTCGGAGGCTTGGCCAGAAATGACAAGTACTGGATACTGACGTTTTTTGTTTCCATAGGAAATGGGCCGACGAATGCGTTGCTGTTGCTCTCCATCGGTACGTCCGGTTTAAGTACACTGTGTTCAAATCCTATCATTTTTTGTAGGACTATCGACGACGGGGGAAAGACGACGGAAACCCGATCGTTACCAATATTCAGTCGGACCCGATGATTGGTGGCGGTCAGCAATTGAACGGTAAAGGCTCTGTCGGCAGTCAAGGCGCTCTTATCAGCGTGCACGGTATCGTCCACCATGTACGATCCAACTTTGGGTACTAATGAATTGATGGTTTTTAATAGCAAATCGGCATCCTTGTAATTTCCCGGAGGGATGGTAATCTCGTCGGTATGGACAACTTGGTCCGCAGACTCCAAAAAGTTTGCTTCATCTTTCTTTAGTCTGAATTCTTTAACGATGTGCACTTCAATCTTCTGTTCGACGGGAAGAGTGAAAAAGGAATTGAGGTACTGTAGTTCAACCAAGGCCATTTCCCATTTTCCCTTCAGGGTAATGGGATGTTTCAGTTTGGTTGTCCAATTGGAAGGAGTGTTGCTGGGGTCCGTAGCGACATCGCTCGGGAGCGTCATGTAGAATGGTGCTCCTTCGTACATGATGATGCCTTTATCCAGGAATCGTGCTCAGGTCCGTAACCTAACCAGCGAACTAGTACTTTATCACCACGGCGTCTAATGATATGGTCGATGGTATATTCTTTCTGTTCAGGGCGCGATACTCTGGAGAGCTCGTGTTCATAAAAGGTTCCTTGGATAGGTTGGTCTTGATAGTCCTTTAGTCGGTATACCGGTACGGTATGTGAAATAACTTTAATGATGTAGAACACCTCCTCCTTAAATCGATACGTATAGCCTTTTTCCACCTTGGTTTTATGCACGGATATCCGGACTGCATCGCCGACCTTGAATCGAGGTGGTCGAACTTCTTTGGTTGGATACAATCTGTTGAATATCGCCAAAGAATTGTTCTGGGTGACGTCTATTGGTCGCAATCCATGTGCTCGATGTTTAGAGTGGTTATACGAGTACACCAAATCTTGTAGTTTGTCAATGTACCGTGTCGAAACCCGCGAACGAAACAAGCGAAACATTCGTGTTTTGATGGTACGGATAACGCGTTCGGCCATGGCACATTTGATGTCTTCGTTTTCTGATGTGAAAAAATGAATCTTTCTCTCTTTCAAGAAGGTCTTGACCGTTGCGTTGACGACTTCGGTGCCTTTATCGTACTGCAGCTTTTCCGGCTCGCCGAGTTCTTCAAAAGCCTTGGACAAGGCATTTTTGGTTTCGTTGGCCGTTTTGGACTTCATTGGTTGAATGCTCAGCTTTTTAGAGAAGCAATCAATTACAAACAGCAGGTGTTTGTACCCATCATTTTCTTTGGAATATTTCGATAAATCAGCCAGATCCGCTTGGTACTGCTGACGAAGGTTGGTCACTACGATCCGGTTGCGTGCAAAGCGACGTCGATTTTCCTTGGTCACAGTGTACGCATCGATCTCTTGCAGAATCTCCTGAGCTTTCCGTCTGTTGGCTCTGGTCTTTAGACTTCTTCGGAACCTTTCCACGCCTCCAAGACCGCCGGGATCGCGCGGGTTGAGGTATCGTTTCATTAGTTTCTCCATCGGCTTTGTTGCAGCAGGTGGAGACACAATTGATCTTAAATATACGGCATAACCGTAATACACTGGGAATAAGACCAGCCATTACGTCAGAGTGATCCACTTAATTCTGGTTCGGTCCGCCCCTTTTTGGATGGTACGCGAGCGCAGTTTTCTAACACTGCCTTCAATCTGGTCCGCCTTTCTTTTTTTCCCACGTAGGAGAGTAGTGACCGGAAACAAAGGTTTACGAGGTCGCTTGCGCGAAGACCCTTGGTAGTCAATGCCTTCAGTCGGTCGCTTTCGACCCTTCCTCGGTGCGGTCGGGGGAAACAAGGCTATGCGCGCTGCTTTCGTTGGTCGCGATTCGACACTTTCGTCTTGATGACGCTTGGAACCTTTCTTCGGTAGCGACGCCGGAAACAAAGCAATGCGTGCGGTCTTTGATTTTTTGCTGTCTTCAGGATCGTCTTTGTGGTCGCGTTTCTGTCCTTTAGAAGGTAAAATCAATGGGAATAAAGGCTGCCGAGGTAGGACTTGTTCCTTCTTCAAGATCCTCTGGCCTGCCCCGTTTTCGAGAGACGGGTAGTTGCGATGATGAAGGAATTGCCGGTAGTTTTCGAGACGCAGTTACTGTATTCCTTTGTTTCTCTGATGCTATCGGTGGTGGTTGTGCGCTAACATCTGTCGGTAACTCCAACGGATTTTCATCGGGTAAGGCTTTCTGTTTCAAGGCGAGAAACCGTTCAAGTATGCTGCTCAGCTGACTGGCTTTCTCAAATTCACTTATATCGGATCGTTGCAGGGTTTTTGCCACTAGCGCATTCAACGTTATGACGCTGTGGGCTTCCGGTGGCTCCTTGTTGATCTGGAGCTGATCCTGCATCCTGTTCTCCATTACACGCCGTGGTACTATGAAGTATTCATCCATTACCAATAAGAGAAGTTAAAACTCCAGCAATGACAGGTAAGATGGCACCGATGAATCCTCCTTGCTGAAATATTCTTCGTTTCTCTTTGAGCGGGTATCGCCGCAGGGCAATCAGCTTTAATGCTTTCCGATGGCGTTTACATTTTTCTGCTTGTGTGGGTGACAAATTCACGGTATTTTTCACAATGTTGACAGCCACCTCTTCCAATGCTTTCAGTTGAGTCTTGGTCAGGTATCTCATCAGTACCTTCCGCTGCCTCGGCTTCAGGTGTTGCAGGGTAATTATAAAGGGAGCTAAAGCTTTCACGCGTTCTGACATTTTGGCAGGCTGTCGGTACGAGTGCGGTCCAGATAGATACGCATCTGCTGATTCGGAAGTACGTGGGAACGAACCCTTAAATAATCGGGACAGTTTGGTCGTAAGTCCAAGACGAGCGGTTGGTAGGCCTCCGTTGTGATTTTGTTGTAGGCGTCCACTAAATGTTTCAGTCCAGTTTGACGAGCCAGTAATGAAATCTGGTTAATATCCCTTACGTTCTTAAATAGTATCAAGTACTGGGAGTTCAACGTTATGTCGCGCATAGTTTTTCCCTGTTTGTACAAGTTCTGAAGAAGCATGATGACGGAGATGTTCTTGTGATGTATACCGCGGGTGAAGAGGTCCGAACAGCGAACGTCCTTACACAAATCCGTAGCCAGATCGTCGATGACAACTAACGTTTGGCCACCGCCGTCGATGGAGTGTACCACTGAAAAAAGGTCATCCAAACCGTGCAAAAATTCGACCTGTGAGACGTCTTTTCGTAACTCCTCAAAACCTTTTTGCCACTGACCATAGCAGTACAATATACGATCAGGTGCCCGATCAAATACTACTGAATTATTTCGTAATAACGTAAAAACAAACTGCGTTTTTCCCGACATTGTAGGTCCGCAAACACACATACCAAAAGGAGCGCAAAAGCGCGGGTAATCATTTATTATACTGAACATCTTTTTCAATCCAAAATGATTTAATTCTTCCAACGAAACTAGCTTAAATAGACAAATTAAGCGAAAAAAAGTTTGATTTTTTCCAAAATCATTTGACGGCAAAGCGGGCATTCTCTCACTCTTCCGGAACATTCAGCGCAACAAATCGCATGCCCACATGGTGAAAAACAAATTGATACGTTTTTATTAAGACACATACTGCATTCTTTTTCCAGCTGAGAGTTTTCATCCAGTCGTGCTTCGTTGATTCGGGCTCTGATGGTGTTCGCCGCTTTCACGAGGTCCTTGATGCGAACAAAACGACGGTATCGTTGAACGGCCTTTATCAGATACGTGTAGTGCACACCCTGTTCCATTGCAAACGCCACCAGAAAATCCATTTTGTTCTTTCGCAAACTGCCAGCCCACTTCAGTTTGTCCATATCGTAAAACCGTCGAACTTCTTGAACAAAACGCAAGCCTTTCTTCTCGAGTAAATATATGCAACGAGGTTCGTACTTGGCGTGCTCGATCCACGGGTCATCATCACGTGTCCACTGTGCCAGTTTGCGGCCACAGCAAAAGCACTGGACCTGGTCCCACATTCCCTCCATGAAAAAGAACCCGGCATTGGCCATATCCATGGGGCGTTGGCCGATGACTTGCCCCGGCCACTTTGCATACGTGGCGAAACGGTCGCGATACTCTTTCATGGCGGGAACGTACACCTCATCATCCGCCACCATAGCCGCGTATGCACATTCGGGACTGATTCGCCGGTGCTCGAACTTGGGCTGGTCCCCGATCATCCGATTGAAATGGACCATACCGCATAGCACACACTTCACTTCGTCTCCTTCGTGAGTGTATATGAATCCGGCTTCCGCAAGAGACTGTGGTGAAATTAACGACAATGGCCAGGTGTCAAATGTCCGTAGCCGATCCTCCAAACTCATCTGTCGCTCGGCAGCCTGTGCATACAAGTCTATTTAAGGACCACGTTCATACTCGTACTTTATCGGCTTTACCATGGCTAACTTACAGCATATGATGTGCTTAGGACGAAACGTCGAGCAAAAATGCGAAAAAGTTCTTTTAGTTATTTTGTACGTCGTCTTTTTTATTGTTTTTGCTCCGTTTGTTGTTACGGAAGGAATTGGAAAAATTCTTCAGACTGATCACTGGAATAAAACGCTACGAAATGACACATCTTGACTTACCGACGTGACGGCGGAACAGAAGCAGGTAGGATGACAATCACGTACAGTCATGTTGAAACGTGCACAGTAATTCATTAAAAGTTTTGAAAAAACATTGCGCTACTGATATTTTTACCGATTTTTCACCTGCTTTATATACAATTTTTGTGTAATGGAAACCGGTGATCCCTGCTCGGGATCACTGAATTCAATTACAACTACTCGTACGTATGATCACTGAAAACCGTGATCCCTATTGTAACTAAGGACTTGTACGATCACTGAAACCAATTACATTTCCGGAATTCAGTGATCCCGTCGGTATATAAATTGATGTTCGCATGGCATCTGTTTTCAGTGTAGCGAAAAACAACTTTGCAACAATAAAAAATTGCTACTGTTTGTCTAGTGTTCTAGTGCTTTCTTATCTCATAAACGACCATGGCTGCAGGATCGAGCGCTGCCAAGGAAGTGGCTTACCGAAATCTGTTCCGCAAGTTAAGTCCACAGACACCACAGATGATCTTCGACGGGAAGCAGGTTCCACCAGCCATTCTTCCGGAGTTCGCAAAGTTCCAGGGGTTGGAAAAGTTGAGTCTTATCGACTGCGGCCTACGATCTCTGGAAGGATCCCAACTTGCGTGTGCTAATGTTAGGCGACAATCACCTTGACGACCTCAGCCCGCTTCCCACCTGCTTCCCCAACCTGGAAAAGCTATCGATTGTCGGGAACAAGATTGGGTTTCGTGACGAAATGGAGCCCCTGACTCGTCTTACCAAGCTGTGGGCTTTGGATGTTGAAGGCAACGAGATCTGCGAGATTCGCGGACATGACCGATGGATGGCGGACACGTTTCCCCGTGTCAAGCGCTTCATGATTACCGCGTATGACGTGGACAGTGACGAGGAAGACGACGACGATATTTCATTGTTTCTTAGCGGTAAATAAAATTTATTATTACTATATCAACTATTACTTGATAGTAAATGTTTCCAGATGAAAGTATGGACGCCGATGACGAGGAGGAAGACAATGTCTCTGATGGACCCGGAGAATCAGTCCCAGAGGTCATTCAGATCGACTAGGATCTTCTGTAAGGTATCGACCATTCTTTCTTTATATTTGTTTTTTTTTAGCTGATTTTATTGTTCTTTGATTCGAGGTACAGGTTGGAAACGGAATGCGGAGGCGAAATCTTAGATATGTTGTGATTTACTTTGAAAAGGTCACCTTTTTTTGTGTTAATGCCTGTGTTATCTAACAGCTCATTATTTTTACCGACAACAATTAAACGCAGGAATAACCAAATCATCTTGCGTATGCACGTTAGCCCCGTACAGTCAATCACACTAATATATTAACAACAAAATAGAATCACGGTTAAAACTGAACTGCTTTTCAAATGCACTGTATGCCACTATTTTTCCGGCAGTCTTTGCTTTCTGATTTTTTTAGTTTTCTTAGTCTGTTCTTTTTTAGTAGCGAGTAGCGGTCAGATTTAAAAGTGGTGCAAGTTCGTTTAGCGGTTACACCAAGTACTAGATTGTATTAAACACTACAAACTGTGAGAAAAACATAATTGACAGTAAACAGCTAACCGTTGCTACGAGACTTTAAATGTAAAGCACACCCAACGTGGAACTCCGTCTTGAAAATTTGACTAAAAAACTCAAACTTTTCAATAATTAACCTTTAAAGTTTCTTTTGAGTTTTTCGTGAATTCACCATGGCACCAAATCTTAGCTGCTTGATGAACTCGTCAAATAACTTGTGCTCTAAAACATTCAGCAATAAGTTAGAAGCATGGGAACATCTTTTCGCCAAAGATCCCACTACAGTCTGCCCAAATGTACTTGCTGCAGTAGAAAGGGCATTATCTGCAGGAACCGCGACCGCTTCAGAAGTTGCAGATAACAGAGACCATTGCGTCCTGTTGACTGAGTCTTTCAAACCTGTTCTCCCTCTATATTCATCACATATAAATGAGGTGTTGCGCAGCCTTATCAACGGAACGCACGCGCAAAAAGAGGTCGTATTTTTTGATGTACACGGTATTCAATATTTGAGATCTTACAAGGCACTACGACGGCTTGGTGATGTAATTGGTCAGCCGAAATTGGGGAACGCTGAGGCCTTCAAGAGGATTATTGAAGCAAAGCTCGTTGTAATACCTTTCTGTCACGACGTCCATGTAAAGCATATGGCTTTAGTCGTCGTATCGGGAGGCGGTAAGTTCAAAAACGTAAGGGTCGTTTCCTAAAATGACTTTCATTACTGGAACAGTTGTGTGCCATTTCCACGGATCTGGTGAATCTGTCACCAACGACTGGTGCAAGTTTGTCGATTGTTTGGAAAGCCTAGCAGGGATACGAAACCGTCGGAAATACCGTAAAGAACTGAAACGGTGGCGTAATCCCAAACAAATGATTGTCGAAGATGTGCAGCGTAAGGTACGTCCTTTTGGTGTTCTGTCATGTTGACCTTTATTATTACGCATATGAACGACAGGTGGTCACGCTTAAGATGGCGTGCGGGATAATAACCCTTTACATAGCCGCAGCGACCATAAAAGCCTACTGTATTGGTGGGTTACGTGGTGAGGCGTGCGTCGAGGCTGCCCAAGTTGATTTCTTACAGCTGCAGAATGAAATGCATAGAGCAGAACGGAGTAAGGCAGTCCCGACACCAAAAGACCTGCACCAGCGCTTACTCACAGCTGCCGGATTCGGGGTTTTCCGCAGCAAATGGTCGACCGCTCGCTATGCAGGTATGCTGTACTTTCTCACTGAGAGTAAATGTAAAAGTACAGGACAGTACTTTAATGCGTAATGTCACAATTTTACACAAGTAAAGTTCTATACATGTAGCAACTAACTCGTACCACGTTTAAGTTAACTACGATTATTATAATCTTTGTTTTCTTTTACTAGAATGGGCAGAATTATTGAAATATCCGGCCGGTGAACCACTAGGAATCGTCGATTTCGTCGAATTTGAAGGGGAATGTTTTTTCAAACTAGAATATTTCGATAACGAACTAAATTATGAATACTGGACGCCTGCGGCTGATGTTCCAATTGGCTTATTTCATTTTTGATAGTATTTTTCATGGTAACTCATAATATCGTTTAGTTAAACGCAATAATGCTGGTGAAATACAGTGCGAGAAAACAAAATGTAAATGCGGCTTAATCACTCATACCCATTTACAGTAATGTTATAACTACAGTAGAGTAGTTAACACTAGTACGTACGTACGGTACACAGTACTACCGATTTGGCTCAAAAGATCAGATGTCCATTCGGACGTTCTTTCTGCAACAATTCGGAATCTGTCCATTCGTTATATAGTTTCTGGTACGATAATGAATCCATACTACTTTCCTTTCTTGCTCGCATTGTACGTTTGGCAGGCTGGTTTATTGAGGCACATCAGATAATTTAGTAAGAATTACAGTAATTGCCTGGCGCAAGGTGCCTAGAATACGGTCGGTGTGGTAATGGGCAATCTAACTGCCCATTACCGCACCTAGAGCAATTAGGCCGTCCAATTAACGGAATGAAGTGCCCATCGTTTTAAGCGCAAACTTAGCGCTAGCTGTATCTTTACGACAGAAATTACCGGACAACGTTATACAACAATTAAAAAAGCATCAGGTAAACAAAAACAAAAACCTTGTACAGTTGTACAAGTACTGCAATTTGTGACTAAGGTATACATTATCTGTAATTTTGTTTCTAACTTGCAGGTCAGGGTGAATTCAAGTGCAAATTCGATGGATGCGAATTTAGGCAGCATCAGAAAATCAATCTGGAGGCGCACTACCGCAGCAAAAAGCACAACGGTAAATTGAGTACAGTTGTATGGACGAATTCTGTTTCTTTTTTATACTGCCATTATTGCGAAGCTGTAAAGTGTATGTGATCGTGATGGTTTCTTGTCTTCTGACAGGAGAACAACCGTTCGAGTGCTCGGAATGTGGCAAGAAATTCTCCCAGCAGGGAAATCTGGACACTCATAAGAAAACACATTTATATGAACCTGGTAGGTGTTGTGTTTAATTTTGTGTGTGACAAACGATATGTTGTGTTTGTTTTTACGAGTGACATGTTTATTGAATTTACGCAACGAATTTTTCAAAGTTTTTCTTTTCAATAAACCAAGGCGAAAATGGAATTTTTAAATTGCAGACGAAAGACCGTTCGCTTGTTCCGTATGCGATTTCAGAGCCAACCAGAAAAACAACTGCTCCGAGCATATCAAAAACGTGCATCCAGGTAATTTTCCTGTTTTGACTAATTTTCCACTACCGGTAGTAAGATGTGCCGTAAATCAAGCTTGAAAACACCCGGAAATCCGATGCTGCAGACTGCAGTTAACCTGCACGGATTGATATATTCCGTGTTTTAGTATATTTCTTATAATACGAGTGAGTACGAGTAAGAAGTGTGCATTTCGGTTGTGCAGATGTGAACGATGCTAAGCCTAATGAGGTCGGGGCTTCTGCGAAAGTGGGAAAGAAGGTAATGCCGGCGGACAAGTTGGATGGAACGATGGGAGAGGTGAAGATTTTTTTTTCAGTAAATGCATTCACGGTAGGTAAATTCGAGGATGGAGTAAATCAGCTCGATGTACCCGAGTAAGCGGCAACCGCGCTCGTTAAATGTGCCCGTTCCTGTGCAACACGGCCAGCCACCAAGGGACGGCAGCACATTCTATAACGCAGATATTATTTGAGACAGCCGTTGAGTTTTGCTAACTGCTATGTTTCTTAACAAGTTTCCGAGATACGCTAATTAATGCGACCACATGCTGTGGGAATGGTGATAGTGCTAACTGTCGGAAGGCGAATGAATGTGAGCGCACTGATGTAGGTTATGCAGAGAAAGATCCCGCTGGTAATCACTCTGGACCGCCGCAGCCACGCCCACATCATCGGCCACACGGGCGCCGGACTGCGGCAACTGCAGATGCGTTTCGAAGTGGAGATCAGCTTTCCGGTAGGCCGGCCGTACAGCGACGCCAACACCGTCATCGTCCAAGGTCACGCGGACAATGTGGACGACTGCGTGGCGGAGCTGCTGCGGCTGGAAGCGCTTTACGTGAGTTGTGCGTTGACGGGCGTTTGTGAGTAAGAGAGATGATTCCGCGGGTCTGTGTAGTTGGCGGAGTTGAACGATGTCGTCGTGGAAGACAGCGGCGACGATGGTCGCGATGCGGAGGCTGCTGAAAACACCGAAGCCCCGACGGAGCACTGTCAGGCCGACGAGTCGGGACTGCTGGTAAGTAGTACGTAATCAGTTGTAATATAGATCTGTAGTATAACAACAAAAATATCTGAGACATCGAGATCGGGAAAATCATAACAGTCATAACAAAAAAGCTGAAAACGCTATTAGATTCAGCGTGTACAGAGACTGTGTCAGGTACATCCTATTTTTAAAAAGAAATATTTTTACCCGTGCCGCCGCTACCGATTCCGGTGAAACCGGCTTCGGAAAGCTCTCATGGTAACCTTGAGAACAGTGACCACTCGAGCTGCTTATTAGCACATTAAAATACTACGAATATAACGATGATACCCTATACGCTAATAAGTAATAACCATCCCTGACATCATGAATTCCAGGCTGCGCTCGTGGCGCCGCTGCCCTCCCTAGGACCTCCACGGCGACGCAGTCAGGAGAACCCGGCACGCGTCACTCCTCAGTCATCACCGCGCAGAGCCACCGCGTCGAGTCGCGCGTCCCGAGCCACCGCGAATCAGCCATCCCGTCGTCGCCATTTCCTGGAGACTTTGTGGCCGTCTCCGCCCACTCCCCGAAATGTCTTTTCTGTGCCCGACGATGGCAAGCGCAGTGCTCCGGCCTCTGCTGACGGTGACGGTGGAACGCGTCCGGCTGGCGTCAAAATGAGAAAGCGAAGCGGCCGTTCTGCGGGAGTGTCGGTGTTGAAGAAAACCCTACGGACGAAGAAGGCGTCGACACAGGTAACTGCATCAGCGCCTGAGCTAGCAGATACCGTATCGTGTACAACAGTTACTGCCTGTAGGTGAAGGGGCGCTGCGGAAGAAGCGGGGCGGTC